TGCATTAGTAGGGAGCTGGGCTGGAGGTGAAACAGCTGGGACTTGAACCAGCACTCACACAGGATGCAGACTATGTTTGTAAAGTTCTGTATCACATAATCTATTACCACCTGCCATGGGGATTCCAAATATTACACAGATGACTACTAAATACACATAATCCCTTAATTAGAGAGGTATGTTTTAAAATAGCCCTTCCAATGAATCAGAATGCCCATGAAATCTGTGCCTGGTACAGGAAAGGCATCCAACAAGAGTGCATTCAATTAAATTTAAAAATAAATCATTGCTAATTTAACATTATGAGAATTATTATCAAAAAAATTTATACTACCATCTACAATAATAGATTTGTCTAGAATAATTTAATTTAAGCTTCTTAATCAAACTGTGAAAGCCAGAGCGAACATCCAGGTCAAGTTTGATGTAAACACTTTATATTGTTTACAAGTCATCTATATGGGCATTTCATATGTCGATTGCCTAGATTACTTTTTGTAATGGCAATATTAATACAGCAGAGTTTGCCTTAGTGCTGTATAGAAATATTGTCCAATGACTTGACAACAAATGTCCTTGTAGACCAGTTTTCTTTGTGAGGAAATTTTTTAGAGACTCAGAAAAGTCCCAACTATTCCACCACCAGCCTGAAGGTCCCTTCAAGAGGAGGGAATGCCATAGCATTTCTCCCCCTAGCTATTAATGATCCTAGACAGAAGCAATATATTGACATTAATTCAGCTTGAGATGTACAATCAATATTGGATTCTTTCCTAGCATGAATGTTTGGTGTAGGACGGAGTATTCAAAAGCACAATGGGCAGGAAAAGAACACCAAAAATTCACCTTTCCCATGGCTCCAACCAAAGCAAACCTTTCTGCTAGTGCTTCTTGGTGACGTTAAGCAGACATCCGTACTGCTTGTCACATGTGGAGGTGAGTCTTACCAAGCTTAGTGCAATTACACTGATTAGCCATCTATAAACAGACTGCGTTCTGATGGGCTCTTTAATTGATTTGCTTACCTAATATTTCTAATCACAGCTCTGTCTCTGCCTGATGAGGTTGCCTTTAGCTCTTTGAGCCATAGCTGTAAATCAAACTGTGCTCCAGAACCCCTTCCTTGCCAGAGGGCTGGGAAGGAATTGAGAGATAGAAACAAGGGAGAAAAAGTCGAGGCCAAGATGTTTCACTCCCTCAAAACAGAAATGGTCCGAGAGTTTCTGATTACATGACACACATACCACACACACGTGTGCTGGGCTATATATTCTCTAGGGTCTGCTTTAGCATTTATGAAAGTCTGTTTTGGGGTTTTCAAGTCTGAGTAGATGGTATTTGAAGAAAGGCGCAGAAACACTGATAGCAAATACGAAGTTAAGCAAGATCGTGGAAATATTGTTAGCAATGCTTTTATTTATTGATGTCACCCTTATCTTAGTCGGGATCAGGGTTTGCTGGGGTAGTTTCCAGCACATTGAACAGAGGATCAAAGATAAAGATTCTCTCCATTGCTGTGATAAGCCCAACATTCCTCCCTTATCACTAAATTAGCAACAACCTAACGTATTGAGGAGTGGTTGTGAGCATCCTGGAGTTTAAAGAATGGGTTAGCAGGGACCCACTCAGGCCTTGAACTGGCAGAGGTGGCTGGAGGGTGGTAGAGCCATGGGCCAGTTGCCTCAGCCTGGAGCAACTTCATGCATTTACCATAGTGTTCTGGTGCAAATGTTTCCTATGCATATGAAAAAGTCAAGAAGTAATTGTCTATTAAATGGCAGAAGATCATCTTGCAAAATCTAGGCCTGGCAGTGCCAGGGTCAATTGAAGTCATAAACGGTGCATGGAATGAGCCACTCCTTACTTTAGAAAGTTGAACTAGAATGCCTTCGGGAAGACAAGCACACTGCACCACAGCCAACCAGGCAACTGCGGTTTCAGTCCCTGGTTTACACTTTCATGGTGGTCTGCTTTCTAAACCTAGTCCCCTTGAGGCAAAGCCAAGCCCGGATCTTGGGGAGTAATGGCTCCCTAAATTTGGGAACTGCAGCAGCCCAAGCACATAGAAAGGTCTCACTTAGGTTGAGGACAAGGTTTGCCTGCATGCCCCTATCTTCACACCTGTTATCCAAAGCCCCTACTCTCAGGATGTTGTGTGCAAACTAGATATTCTCTGGGGTCTGCTTTGGCATTTATGAATGCATCACCCTCAGGTGACATGGACTGCGGGGTCCCTCCCCTTAGGACATTTCATCTCCCTGTCTCTTTCTTCCACTCCTGGCTCTCCTGATGGAGTTTCTTTTCCTTGCTCCCACTCTGAAGATGGCAAAACTCTCCGATCTACCTCTCCACTTTGTCTTCTCGCAACCCCAGCCCTAGCCTGAGTGTGTGGGAGCAGAAACACTGACTGCACATTTGCATCTGTACTTTTCTCTCTTGCCCATGGCCTTGTGGGTATTTTGTTTGTTTGTTTTGAGTCTTTAGGTTTCTGCTTTGCTGTGGGCTGAGAGAGAAACTGATAGGACAATATACACACAGCATAATATGGCTGGATAGTTCTTTTTTTGAAAGACTTATTTATTTATTTGAAAGGCAGAGTTACACAGCCAGAGGCAGAGAGAGAGAGAGAGAGACAACAGCTAGGGCTAGGCCAGGCTGCAGCCAGGAGCCAAGATTCAATGTGAGTCTCCTACATGGGTGGTGAGGACCCCATCATTGTGAACATCACCTGCTGCCTCCCAAGGGTGCACATTAGCAGGAAGCTGGCATCAGGAAAGGAGTCAAGTTGCACTCCGCTTGGGAATATGGGCATCCCTACTTGCATCAAACACCTGCCCCTAAGCATACAGTAATTTTTAAAAAGAGATTAACTTATTTACTTGAAAGTCAGAGTTACAGAGAGACAGAGACAGAGAAAGAGAGACAGAGAGAAGTCCTCCATCTGCTGGTTCATTCCTCAAATGGCTGCAACGGCCGGAGCTGTGCCAACCTGAAGCCAGGAGCCAAGAGCTTCTTCCAGGTCTCCTCCATGGGTGCAGGGGCCCAACAACTCGGGCTATCTTCTACTGCTTTCCTAGGCATAGCAGAGAGCTGGATCAGAAGTGCAGCAGCCCTGGTTCAAACCAAGGCAACTCTGCAGCATTGGCCCCTACAGTGAATTCTAAAAAGACATTCTTTTAGGAATCTTTCATATGCAGCTGAACAGTCTTTTAATCTTTGTTTTAAATTGTGAAATACTTTTGTTTCATAAAATAGTCATGATACAGAAATTAATGACACACATTATGTGCTTACTACCAAAAACTATAGAGATATTAACACTTCATTCTGTTGTCTTTTTAAACAGTAGTCTTTTTCTTATAATTTCCTTGGCTGTTCTTGGGCATTTATTCTCCTATATGAGCATTCATTTAATTACAATTTTTAAAAATTCCTGTTGGGATCTTAATTGGAATTGTGGTGCATATATATAAATTTGGGGAAATTGACTTTTAATGGTATTTAGACTTCCCATTTAAGCAATGTTGTAAGTCTTCTCATTCGTTTAAATCTTATTCTGTGATTTTCTCTGTGAGTCCTGTGGTTTTCTTATTTTATTTATTTAGAAATATCTAGGGGCCAGCACTGTGGCATAGCAGGTAAAGCCACCACCCCCTGCAGTGCCGGCATCCCCTATGGGCACAAGTTCAAGTCTCAGCTGCTCTTCTTCTGATCCAAATCCCTGCTAAATGTGCCTGGGAAAGCAATAGAAGATGACCCAAGTGCTTGGGACCCTGCACCCACATGGGAGACCCGGAAGAAGCTCCTGGCTCCTGGTTTCAGCCTGGCCCAGCCCCAGCCACTGTGGCCATTTGGGGAGTGAACCAGTGGATGGAAGAACCTCTCTCTCTCTCTCGCTCTCTCACTCTCACTCTCGCTCTCTCTCCTTCCCTCTCTCCCTCTCTCTCTGTCTCTACTTCTCCCCTTCCCTCTCCCTCACTGTAACTCTGCTTTTCAAATAAATAAATCTTCAAAAAATAAAGTTCACTGTCTCTCTCTCTCACACATAAAGTAAATCCAAAACTAGAGGACTGAGGACTTGTCTCTATAGCCACCGGGGACCTAGGCTCTTTTCTCCTCTGTGAGTATAATCTAGGTGCAGGGTGTCCAGCCTCAGTATCGCTTTTTGACATCAGCAGCCATTTCCAAGTGCAGGAGGCAGGGAAGAGGAAGAAAACACCATCACTGAAACCCCATGCATATCTTCAACCTACATCTCTTTGGACAGCATTTGGTCACCAATCTATTTACCTGAGAGCAAGGGAGGCGGAGAAATTACTCCATGCTAGCAGCATGTATCCTGCTAAGTATTTATGGATTTTCCTCTGTGACACCCAGTGTGTTTTGTTTTGTGGGATGCTATTAGGTGCTATGGGAAGGAAATAAAGGCTTATGGAAAATGTAGGTAACACGGGAGTAAACAACGGAGCTAAATAAGTTCTTTACTGCAGGACTTCTACCAATTTAAAACACTAAGAAGGTGTGCAGAAAGGGGAACTCCTTTACACTGTTGATGGGAATGTAAGTTAGCGTAGCCACTGTGGAAAACAGTATGGAGATTCCTTTAAAACCCAGAAATAGACTGGTCAAATGATCTAGCAAAACCACTACTGGGTATATACCCGAAAGACATCAACACATTGTATCCAAAGAGATACCTGCACCACCATGTTTATAGCAGCACTGTTCACAACAGTCAAAATATGGAACTAAGGTGTCCATCATCAGATGAATGGGTAAAGAAATATGTGTGTGTGTGTGTGTATTATGGAATATATTCAGCTATAAAAAAAAAAATGAGATCCTACCAGTTGCCTCAAAATGGCTGGATCTGGAGGACATTGTGTTGAATTAAATAAGCCAGACACAGAAAACAAATTCTGCACGCTCTTCCTCATTTGTGGGAGCTAAAATTAAAAATAAATCCAAAACAAAAGAAGAATGGAATGCCTGTGTATATTAGTTTTACTGCAAATACAGCATTTGCTTGAACTTGGTTTTAAATCTGTACCAAATGGTTAAAAAATTATATACTACTACAGTTTTAATGATTTCATGTTTATTTTAACGTTTACTTTATACGAGTGAAGTTGAACATCTTTGCGTTTGATTGTTGTTTATAGCCCTTGCCTATTTTTCTGTTGAACTACGGTCTCTTTGCTGCTTATTTGTTGAACTCTTTATTTAGTGAAGCATTAAACCTTTGGCTGTAATGTAAACTAAAAATATGCCATCTCAAAATAATAAATAAAATATTAAGTTGGAAAAAAAAGTGAAACATTTCCCCCAGTGTACCTGCAAGGAGAGGAAGGAGGTCTTAATAGCTTTATATCAGTCCTAGAAGGTAAGTTAATTTTATGGGGAATATAAATTAGAAAAGCTTGGTTGCCAAATATCACAGCTTTCTTTATTACATCAGGAGGACAGATAAGTCGCTGTATGAAGATGGAGGAGTTTATTGTTCCAACCCCAAATGTAGGGACCTGGCTCGAGTCACGTCTTTAGATTCATCCTGCTCTGCGGTCCCAGGTTCTCTGTTTACTACTATGCTAGCACCATACACACAGTGCTACAGCAGGCTTCCTGTGGGTGGGGGGGTGTTCCTGTATGTGAATGTGCCTGGCACACAGTGGGGACTCAGTAAGTGTGAGTGCCCTTCCCTTTTCCTTTCTCAGCATGGTCTCCAATGGAATGCCACAGACATTGAAGCACTCGTAGAGGTTGACTCTTTGCACAAAGAGCCAACGCGGCATTCGCTCCATGGATTTGAGTCCTTTTACATAGTAAAATATCATTTTGAAAAATGCAATCTGTGTTGCACCTCCCAATTGGAAATGATGAGAATGTGTGTGGGGGATGCTCCATCATCTAGTTCACCTGCTCCGTGTCAGGAAAAAGCTGCAGAATCAACTGACATTAGCCCTGTCCACGTGGGCACTTGAAAATCTGTGGTCATCAATGTCTAAATTTACAATTATAATCTTCAGAATGATACGGTGGAGGTAGAAATCAAACGACAAACTTTTTACTTTTTAAATCATATATGAATGAATTTATAAAGGTTTGCTTACATACAATACTTGGTTCAATTTATTATTATAAGATTCTGATTATTGGATTTAAATGAGGCACAGGGGGGACCAGGGCAAAATTTTATTGATAAGTTATTCACTTACAATTTTGTAACTAAGCCAAGAAGAGCTCACCTTAGTGGCCCGTGGTTTATCTGGAGCCCCAGAAATATTGTCTTAGGGTGTCTGAGTCAAGGCACAAAGTGGTTAGGTGGTGTCCTTCAGGATGTACTGTTAACCTCTCTGAAGCAACTATCTGGGTGCCAAGAAACCAGACCCCAAATGCACTCCCTGCTGAGCCACTTGCATTTGGCCTATGGAAGAAGCACACAAACCAGCTCTATTTTTGACAATTCCTGGAGGATCTTTTATATCCAGGAAGAAGAGACTGCATCCATAACTGGAGAACTCAAGCAAAAAGGCTGCATCCCTGTAGCTGCGTGGTCATTGATGTAGGCAGTGGTCATTCCTGCAGCATTCTGAATGTAGAGATGCCTATCATAATCTTCCTGCTCATTGCTTCTTTTTTCTTGTTGTTGTTGTTTTTCAGTATAATAAAGTATACAAGAACTTAAAGGAGTGTTCTCAAAATGGAGAGAATTTCTGCAAGCAGGTCACATCGATTCTTCAGCAAAGGTACAGAATAGACATTTGCAATAAGCAGCTCTTGTTTTGCAGTTGCAGCAAGTGATGTGGCTGGAGGAGTGATTACAGGCTGTCCTACTTTCCAGAATATGGTGCTACACTTTGGTACTTGAGAGATTGCTTTTAAGAGTGATTCTCCTCTATCACACATTTATCAATTGAGCACCGTAAAAACAAACGAACAACAGGAATAATTCTGCTTGGGAAGCCTCAGTCAAGTGTATTCTAATTGCATAGCTTGAGTTCATCCCCTGCCCCTGGGGCCCAATGATGCACCTGCTGTATATGCTCAGTATTGTACTTTTCAACCAGGGGCAATTATTAGTTTACAGTTTTGTCTCTCCAACAAGAGAAGAGGCTGTATTTTGCTGATTATTGTGTATTGAGCTCTTAGAGCCTGGCATTTTTCTTTCCTTTTTTTAAAAATTAATTTATTTATTTGAAATGCAGAGTCACACAGAGAGAGAAGGAAAGAGAGAGAAAGGGAGGTCTTCCATCCACTGGTTCACTCCCCAATTGGCCACAATGGCCGGAGCTGCACCAGTTGGAATCCAGGAGCCATGAGCTTCTTCTGGGTCTCTCACGTGGGTGCAGGGACCCAAGGACTTGGGCCATCCTCCACTGCTTTCCCAGGCCATAGCAGAGAGCTGGATCAGAAGTAGAGCAGTCAGGTCTTGAACCGGAGCCCATATGACATGCCAGCATGGCAGGTGGCAGCTTTATCCGCTACACCACAGCACTGGCCCCCTTTTTGATTTCTTTGCTGAATGTCAGATGAATGAAAGAAAGGACGGATGAATGAAAAGCCACCACTTTCAGTGTTCTGTCCCCTTCATACAGGTGTGACTATCAGTAAAATTGCTCGCTGTGCTGAAATGAGCCCGCTTAAGTCATTCAACAATGTTAGAAACATCTCTGCTTAAAATTAGAGGAGCCAGAGGCTGGGGTCATAAAGGAGCTCTCAGACCTTTCCCTACACAGCTCTGCAATAAACACTTCCAAAGAGACCTTGAAAAGAGATTGCTCCTGGGAGCAAAGCCAGCCCATGTTTAAAACACAAAGTGCTGTGGATTGAGTGCATCCTGTGTTCGTGGGTCAAGGCCAGAGAAGATTAGCTTTATCAGAACCAATAAATGAGGCCAAAGAAAGATATGGGAAAGCTCAACCAGGCCTTTCTAAAGAAAAACCCAGGCTTAACAAATGGAGTCAAAAAGAATTTTTTTTTTTAATTTAAAGGTTGTATCTACTTATTATAGGCTAGAGTGACAGAGAGAAAAAGGGGGCAAGATAGAGAGAGAGAGTTTCCATCTGCTGGTTCACTCAGGTAGTCACAATGACCAAGGTTGGGGGAGGCCAATGCCAGGATCCCAGAACTCCATCTGGAACTCCCACACGAATGTCATGGGCCCAAGTACTTAGGGCATCCTCTGCAGCTTTCCTGGGTGCATTAGCTGAAACCTGGATCAGAGGTGGAGCAGCTGGAACTCAACCGTCACTCAGATACAGGATGCCAGTGTTGCAAGCCTACAGCTTTACCTGCTGCTTGACAAAAACACCAGCCCCAAGAAAAAAATTTCAAGTATGACATTCTAATGGCCAAACTGGTTAGATTCCATGAAAGAGAAAAGGAGAGGATCCATTTGGGAAGGATTTTCTTGTCTAAAAAAGTTTTTATCAGTCTCAAAGGAAATTATTTAAATAAGACTAATTATTCTTTAAAAATCCAACTCATGACTGAGATTGGAAAGCATTTGTGGCCTGTGATCGGGAAGAATCTGTACACACGTCAGCCACACACCTGACCTGTCCTGCAGTCACCTGGTCCTTGATGACTTGGTGTCACAGAGTTCAGGTGCTGCCTGCTAGAGAGCCATGAAGATGGAAGGCTGGAGACAAAGAACAGGCTCAACAGTGCACTGAAAAAAACCTGGGGGCATGTGGGAGGGTGTCGCTGCTTGAAAACTGCTTTCTTAGTTTTCCCTTGTCCACATCACTCTCCCATCTCCGCTGTGCCACAGAGCGATCTCCTGTCTGTGCACAGAGCCTTCCCTCCTTGTGTGTGTCTCCCTCAAGGTCACCACCTGCCCAGGCCACCACCTCCCAGGCCCCTCGAATGTGTAAAACCCTCCACCCGCCCACTTACAGGCTGGAACAAGCCGAGGCTCTGAAGATACCTCCCTTCATGCTTTTGCATCCATAAGGAGCCTAATTTCGAACTTGAAAATCTAAAAAGAACGCTATAGGTTAGCAAAGTGACCAAGCCATTCTTGGATTAGAAAACAAAAACTGTACAGCACACATACAAAGACTATGTCTCATGTTCTGCCTAGAGAAAAAAAATGCTAGATATTGGGTCATGTATGTAGTAAATACTTTCCTAAACATTTTGTAAAGCTAACCTTGTGCAATTAAATCACCCACCCTTAACCAAAATGCCATTTGTCGTTACTTTACACTGATTCTGATATACACACATTTGCAACGTCCCCTCCTCCTTGTGCTTTCGATCGCCCTGCCCTGCCCCCTGCTCAGCTCTTGATCATGCAGTTAACCTGGAGGATGTTTGTCCACCCTAAGGAGACAGTCTTTGGGGAGAACTGCTTCCTAACGGACACAAACACTCTGTCAGTCTATGAAAACGCAGTACATTGTGTTCTTGCATTCCGATATGTCAGCTGCCACAGACAGAGGCTGCTTCACTTCCTAGCTTTGGCTCATTTCTCTCCTGTGGGAGTGATATGATTCTGAGGTCACTACTTCTTCCTGTGGTGTTTGAGCTGAGTCCGTGTTATAACCTGTCACAAGGATGCATGGCCATAGCAGAGCTGGCGTTGCTTTCTCCTTGTTCTGTAAATTCAAAATTACTTTCCATGACATACCTAAGAGGCTGATTCCCACCAACTGTCCAGAAATGAGCCCAGGACTTACTTTCCTCATAAATGCATGGGTTTATTACAGATACATCAATGACACCAGACCTTTCCTCTTGTTATTGTTGCTATTTTTTTAAGCACCTGGAAAGCCAGTACTCTTCAAAACAAACTATCCTATTAATTAGGGTTGGAGACAAGTATAATGCCATAAGAAAAATCCCACATGACAAGTAAAATAGTACTCTTGGAATACATATGGCACACATTTCCAGTAAAGTTTATGACACAGAAAATCATGGAGGCGAACCCAGTGGCTGGCATAATGAAAGACACAGTAAAGGAGTACTTTAGGCTTTGAATTAGGGGTGCCTGCCAACTAAAATGCACTCAATAAGTAATTGTAAGTTAAGTGAATAAATAAATAAAAATAGTTAGGAGTTATTCCACCTACATCATTATAACAAGGTCTTCACCGTCTGTCCTTGGTGGTTGACACTTCCAGGCACCTTGCTTAAGAGGGCATTTGCATGTGGTTCTGCTCCACAGAGTTCTGAATTAGCAGGTGGATAGAAGAGGCGGCATCGCAATCAAAGCTGCAAATCCAGACAATGTTTCCTTTCCAGGCTCAGCTGCCTCCTTGCATTCATTCTAATTGGTGGTGATAGAAACTGCGGTTGTTTTTAAAACCCTACTTGCCTGGATATTCTGCAATGCATGGTCATGCTTCACTTTTTGGCCAGTTGGTTACTTCAGTTTCCTTCTGTGCAATTGCAAACTGAGGTTTGACCAGAGACACACAGCAGCTCCTGAGATGCCTAATGGCAAAGTCCTTAAGTTCACTTTCTTATAATCACAGATCAAATTTAAAGAGAAAATGTACATTCCCAGAAACTATTTATAAGTGTCTGGCACCCTGCACTCTGACAGCAAATATTTAAACAGGCTTTGATGGGAAAATCTATCGTTCTTCTGTAAGAAAGCTTAATACCAGGCTGCTAGGAACTGCTGCTAGGAAAGGAAAGGAAAGGGAAGGGAAGGGAAGGGAAGGGAAGGGAAGGGAAGAAGGAGGAACTGTAGTTGGCCATTTGTGCCACCCATGATTTGTTTCAGATAGTGTCAACAAAAGAATAAAAAAAAATGGATTTCAATTTTTGAGAACCTTTGAGAGAATCCCCCAGAAATGCTCACCTTTTCCGCTCTAGCATTATCCTGGGTGGTCTTCACTCCCACGGCCTCAGCTCTGCCGTGTAGCAATGACAACCAAATGTGTATTGGTAGTCGACATGACATGTCTTAACTATACTTCGAACGACATATTTGACAATGCATTAGCTGTTTCCACCCAGATTCCCACGGCACTACAAAGCCAACACATCCAAACCAGAGAGTATTAACTTTTCTGCAAAGTTGATCCTCCTTCTGGATTTTTCCTTGTGAACTGAGACTGCTGCCCACCCAAACAAGTCCAATACCTGCGTGTCACCCATTTCTACAACTACTTCTTTCTCAACTCATAACCAAGACTTCATATTTCTCTTTCCTAACTCCCCTTTAGGGCATAGCTTTATTTTTTTAAAGCCCTGTTATATTGTTCTGGAAAAAGTATCTCAAACTATTCTTCTGTCTAGAGGTGCTGCCTCACCCTGTGGAATTTGCATACTACACAAAAAGGCACCTGGCTGGGTGGGAGACAAATCCAATCCACCTGCATCCTTCAGAGCTTTCGTCCTGGCTCCAAGCTGTGTCCCTTTAGAGGGTCTCCTTTTTTTCAAATTTAAGCAAAATTACCTCAACTTGAGGCCCTGGCCCTGGCCCTGTCTCTAGTGCACCTCTCACTCTGAGGACCTGTCCCTGTTTAAGATCCTTCAAAGACTCCCATGCCATTTAGGATAAAATCCAACCCTCATAGCATCTTAAAAGAGGATCTTCAAGATCTGGGCTCTGCATTCTTATCCATCCACTCTCTAACTCCCCATGTCCTTTCCCTCCTTCTTACCAAGCCACTTGCAAATCTCCCCCACCGTGGGTGAGTTCCTCACCACCACCACCAGCAGCAGCAGCAGCAGTAGGGGTGCCTGCCTCTGTAAGGGCTGTGTTGCCTGCTTGACAGATGCTTCTTCACCCTCATTCTTCAAGCTTCCATCATCCCACTGTGGCAGGCCTTCCTTGGATCAAAATCACGCCTCTTGGGTCTACCTGTAGAATGAGTGCTTCCTCTGCTCTAGCTCTTACTGCTCCACACGGTTACTCTCTGTCTCACCACGGTAGGCAGAAGTCCTTGAGGATCTTTGCATCCCACCTGAGTAGTATGGGCCTGGCACAGAGTACGTATGCAGTAGATGTTCACCAAGTGAATAGCTGCACTAATGTATGACTGGTTCTGGGCCTTCGAGCACTCAGAACTCTGAAGAAGTTCGCCTTAGGCTATTTCTGAGTAGCAATAAATGGACAGACATGTCAATAATATTCACTAATATAATATGTAGCATATTATATGGAACAAAAGCTAGACAGGTATCCTGATCCAGCTCGTTTCGTGGAGTCATAAGGTTCTGTGTGGGAAGGGATACAGCTGTTATCAAGCACATCCAGCTCAGTGGGGGTACCCTGGAGGGGGGGAGGAGGTCAAACGTGCAGGCCTGCTCTCCGCTCACTCCCCTCCCATCCAATCAGAATGACCACACTAGTATCTATATGATATGCAAGGATTTTGTATAACATTCCGTATCCCAGATACAACATTTGGAAAACCACCTTTCTTAACTTTACCTGGCTTTCCCCAGCAATTACCCCTCTCCGCTACACACACACACACACACACACACACACACACTCACACACACACACGTGCACTCAGTTGGGAAATGAGCAGGCAAGGAGGAGCAGGAGTTCTAGAGCCCCCATGGCTGGAGGTGGAGGGTGTAGAGGTGCAGGGCAGCAGCACTGTGGCACAGCGGGTTAAAGCCCAGCCTGCAGCACCGGCATCCCATAAGGACACCAGTTTGAGGCCCAGCTGCTCCACTTCCAATCCAGCTCCCTGCCAATGCACCTGGGAAAGCAGCAGAGGATGGCCCAACTGCTTGGGCCCTTGCACCCAAATGGGAGACCTAGAAGGAGCTCCTGGCTCCTGGCTTTGAATCAGATTGGATCAGCTCAGCCCTGGCCATTGTGGCCATTTGGGAAGGCACCAGAAAATGGCAGACCTCTCTGTCCCTACCTCTCTCTGTAACTCTGTCTTCTGAAAAAATAAAATAAATCTTAAAAATAATAAATAAAGCTACCATGGGGCACGCGTTCCCTGGGCCTGTAGTGACTGGCCAGCCCAGGAGGGCACCGCCCTCTCTCATCCTCCCCTTTCTCCTTTGTTTACACCCCAGGAAGCAGGGTTAAGGCCTTCAGTAAGGATGCAGGGGGCTGGCTAACCAGCAACAGAGCTTTGACTGGAAAATTTTTTCAAATTGCCTAAAACCAATTTTAAATTCAACCTGTTTGTAAGAGGAACTTGCGACTGTCTTTCAAAGAATAAATTAATAAAGCCTGAGTGGAGAACACCCATTTGCCAGACCCTGAACCAAAGCTGTTGCTGGTGAAGAACAGGATGTAAGCCACAGGAGGGGTACCCTGGGTGGGGAACTGGGATGACGAAAATTCCTCCCTAATCCATGACAGAGGGAGGCCTCTGCCACCTGCCGTCTTCAAGCATGAGAAAGCCTTAGCTCAATTTGAGTTAATTCCACATAGACACGGGGGTGGCTACAGGTTGATTAAGCCACTTTTTATAATCTTAATTGTATTAGCGCAGGCTTTGCTAGAATTGATTACATGGTCGTCATATTATTCTTGCAGTTTAATGTGTGCCCTGTCTAAAGCATTCAACCTGAAACCATGTATTTTCCATCTCGGCTTTCTTTCAACAGTCTAGTTTACTTTTAAATCTAAGTCAAATATTGGTCACTGCCTTGTTGGTTAGTCTTCTTTATTGCTAATGAAAATGCATTGACCTGCCTTGACTGCTGAAAGGAAATTAGAATATAAACGGATTAAAAGCCAGAGCAAGTTATTTCCCTGGTCTTGAGTCTTTAAATCTCACTGCAATATTCTGAGACTGAGTTAGCCATGGAAGGATACACGCATAATCCTCTCCACGTGTGCCAAGAAAAGTGCTCGGAGGGGCATCTTCCCTCGGCTATGGTGGCTCTCCGGAGTCAGCCTGTTTGGCTGCAAACTCTGAGAGAGCAGCTTAAAGGGACTTGGAAGAAACCAGTCTAAGTGGGGCTCTGCGCTGCTTGGGAAAACACAAACAGCATTTCTTTCTATTTGGCAGGAATTCTGAAAGGAAATCTAGCGATCTAATGATCTATCTAATGAGAGAGAGAGAGAAAAAAAACACTCCATTAGACCGTAGCACAAAGTGTCACATCACAAAGTTATTTTCCCCGGCAAACATCCCAACTTAGGAAACCGGCAACTCTCTCTACCTGCCACTTGGAATGTGGCCTCCTACAGAAAAAAGGCTTTTTCCTAGGGAGGAATTTCACCACAGGCACCTGTTCAGACAAAAGCTGATGAGGGCCAGACCCTGTAAGCCCCACGTGTGCCCTGCTGCAGCTTTCTAAAGTGAAGGGCTGAGTGGCAGGAGGCGTGGTGACAGTGCACCCTCCGGGCTGCGTGCCATTCCCTTTCCTTCTGACTTGCCGAGTCATCTCCTGAGGTTCCCAAAATAGCCATCAGGGCTTTGCACGCGAGAAGAGATGCGCAGATGATTCTAGCTTGCTTTTCTTGGTTTATCTGAACGCCAATTCTAAAACTCTTTGGAGTCATCAATAAATCACAGGCAGAGAGACACAGAAGATGATGGTGGCGTTCAGGAAGGTGGTGTCCAAGTCACCCCAGCCTTGCAGGGCTAGGCTGGTGACGTGTGCCTTAAGAGGCCCCCACCTTCCCCACTTTTCCTGACAGTTAACACTGTCACCGTGCACCCCAACACACCTTACCGTGGCATAGATGTTTTGGAAAGAGGCTGGGGAGCTGTTCTGTCTGCACAGAGGCTGCTGTGCGTTGCGGCTCCAGAACCTGTGATGATTCCAAATGCATATTAAAGGCAGTGTTACTTTGCCCCCAGAAACCTCCACCTGCAGCCTCCTCCCGCTGGCTTCAGAGATAGGAGATGGAGTACTTAAGCATGTAGATTCTCCAGCCAGACTGCGTTCAAATCCACCACGTCTTTCCTGTGTGCTCTTAGGCGAGTGATTGGCTAAACACTGTGCCTCAATCTTGCCCTCCATGAAATGGGTGGAAGAGTGTGTCTCCCTCATGGGGATGATCATAGATTCAACAACGAAATACCCTGAGATCAGCACTCGGCAGCAAGGCGTCCGGTAAACAGCGCCGCACTCTGCTGCATGTGGGCAGAGAGCGGGTGGACAGTGTCAGGAGAAGGCTGTCGGGAGGCACGCTCTTCACGTACAGGAGACAGGAGAGCAACTCTGAGCAGCAACCTGGGAGCCACCCGTTTACCCCTAAAACCCGTGTGCATAAAAATGAAGGCTTCCGGTGCAAGACATGCTGGGGGCAGTTGAATCTCCGTAGGCTGCTTTCTTGCCAATGCTCAAAAGAAAGTCAGGGAAATATTGGAGTGCGGGACAAAGATGACCAAACTGAAACAGGAAGAGCCCAGAACTCTTCCTGAGAGCAAGCCCGGAACCAGGAGCCTCGCCCTCCCCTGCCACCGAAACCCAGCTTCCTTCGCCCCTGAGTGAATCCAGTTAAGTCAATGACATAGAGGATCACACACTCCTTCCTGGCGGTGGGCCTTCTTGTTTCCACCTCACCCCCGAGACACGGAGCGCAGCTTGTAAGGACAATGGGATTCCGAGGAAGAGGCTGGGCCTGGCAGCCTCGCCCTTGGTTAGAAGCCATGTAGGATTTTGTGTGAGACGATGGGTGAGCAAGCTGTGAATTCTTGCTCCTTGGCCGTCCCCACCTGTGAGTACCTGGGGTGCTCTGACTTTACCGGTCCTTTTGGATAACGATCATATTTAAATAATTCACATGTATTAAGAACTCGTTTTGTGGGGCCGGCGTTGTGGGGCAGTGAGTTAGACCACCTGCTGCAATGCTGGCATGCCATAGCACAACACCAGTTCCAGTCCCGGCTGCCCCAGCAGCACAGGGGACATCTCCACCTCTCCCTTTCTCTCTGTCAGCCTGCCTTTCAAATAAATAACATGAATTGAAAAAAAAAAAAAAAAGAGCTTGCTTTGTGCCCAGGCCTGTGAGCCAAACACTATAAATATATCATTTTTCGTGTTTTATCTGCTGCATTCGAGAAAGAATGGAGAGCTGGAGAGGAAAGTGCTAACAAGTGCTGGCAGGCAGTGGGCTAGGATAGGGTTTGTATGTTCAACTGTTCCAAGTGCTAGAAAGCAGTGAACTCGGACACCAGGATGAACACAGCTCAAACTTGTGGGAATGCATTTAAATAGATCTCTCTCTTTCTCTTTCTGTGATTCTGCCTTTCAAATAAGAGGAAAGAAGGAAGGAAGGAAGGAAGGAAGGAAGGAAGGAAGGAAGGAAGGAAGGAAGGAAGAAGAAAGAAAGAGAGAGAATATACAGTACATGTCAACAATGGATTACTATTGGGCAATAAAAAAGAATACAACCTTTGGCCAGCACTGTGGTACAAAGGGTTAAAGCCCTGGCCTGAAGCGCCGGCATCCCCTATGGGCGCCGGTTCTAGTCCAGGCGGCTCCTCTTCCAATCCAGCTCTCTGCCATGGCCTGGGAAAGCAGTACAAGATAGCACAAGTCCTTGGGCCCCTGCACTCATGTGGGAGACCTGGAGGAAGCTCCTGGCTCCCGGCTTCGGATCAGCGCTGCTCCTGCTGTTGCGGCCAGTTGGGGAGTGAACCAGTGGATGGAAGACCTCTCTCTCTGTCTCTACCTCTCTCTGTAACTCTGTCTTTCAAATAAATAAAATAAATCTTAAAAAAAAAAAAGAATGCAACCTTGTTATTTACAACAACACGGCTGGAACTGGAGGCCGCTGTGTACAGTGAAGTGAGCCAGGCACCGAAAGACAAGTACTGCAGGATCTCACCCATAAGCCGCACCTCAACAAGTTGGTCTCTTAGAAGTCGAGAGCCCCATGGTGATGGCCAGACACCGGGAGAGTACTGGAAAGGAGAAAATAAGGACTGACTAATGGATAACAAGCTACAGTTCGATAAGAGCAAGAAGCTCTGTGTTCATTGCACAGTACGGTAACTACTATACATAGACTGTATATTTCTCCAAAAAACAGACAAAAAGATTTTTTAAGTGTTTTCACCACAAACAAATATTAAACGTCCCTGATTGGACATTACTCAGTGAACACATGTATAGAAACATCACATGGTACCCCATAAGTATGCACAGCTTTTAATGTGTTGATTTAAAAAATGAAAAGTTGGGGCCAACACTGCGGTGTAGCAGGTAAAGCCGCTGCCTGCAGTGCCGGCATTCCTTATGGGCACCAGTTCAAGTCCTGGCTGCTCCACTTCAGATCCAGCTCTCTGCTATGGCCTGCAAAAGTAGTAGAAGAGAGCCCAAGTCCTTGGGTTCCTGAACCCACATAGGAAACCTGGAAGAAGCTCCAGGCTCCTGGCTTCTGAATGGCCCAGCTCTGGCCATTGCGGACATTTGGAGAGTGAACCAGTGGATGGAAGACCTTTCTCTCTCTCTCTCTCTCTCTCTCTCTCTCTTCCTCTCTCTCTCTCTTCCTCTCTCTCTGTTTCTGCCTCTGTAACTCTGACTTTCAAATAAATAAATAAATCTTTTAAAAAATGAAAAAATGGGGCCAGCGCCGCAGCTAGGCTAATCCTCCGCCTTGCAGCGCCAGCACACCGGGTTCTAGTCCCAGTTGGGGCACTGGATTCTGTCCCGGTTGCCCCTCTTCCAGGCCAGCTCTCTGCTATAGCCCAGGAGTGCAGTGGAGGATGGCCCAAGTACTTGGGCCCTGCACCCCATGGGAGACCAGGATAAGCACCTGGCTCCTGCCATTGGATCAGCACGGTGTGCAGGCCGCAGCGCACCGGCCGCGGCGGCCATTGGAGGGTGAACCAACAGCAAAGGAAGACCTTTCTCTCTATCTCTCTCTCTCTCACTGTCCACTCTGCCTAATAGAAAAAAAAATGAAAAAATGTATAGGGGAATAATGACAAGGATCCTCTTTAAGATAGGGGTAGCCTCTGAGGAGGTTTCTTTTGAAGAAGACCTACTGGCAATAACATGAAGAAGGATATCTTGCGGTTATGTAGCTGATGGAATACTTGGCAGAGGCTACAGCAAGTGCAAAGGCCCTGAGGCAGGATGACAGTTGGCTCCCACTATGAGCAAAGGAGTAAGGGGGAGGAGGAGAAATCAGAGAGTAAGCCTGGGATGAGATCACAGTTTTACAGGTCAATAGCAACTTTCCTGGTTATTGCCTTACGCTATAACCTACTCCCAGCCTTAGGCGATAACCACATTGTCAGCTTCCTAGAACCCATGAATTGGGTCTGATTACTGCACTTTAACGTTGTCTAAGTCACCCCACTGAGTGCTGGAGATCTCCCGGGATTCCAGAGCATCTCAGCTCATCAGCAGTGAGGATCTCTCCCAGCCTACTCTTGACCAGCACTCTCTCCCCTCCAATTGCAGCATGTGCCCAGGGCAGTGAAATCTATTCATAAATGCCGTGAGATAAGTATTTACCAGCTCTAATATTTTAAAAGACTTGCCTTTATCTTTCCTTATATCCATACAAGTTCTGATGCCAAATGGGTGTCTTCGGCACTATGCCTTAACATATATCCTACATCAGTCTTTTTTCAAAAAGGAGGGCAGGGGCCAGCACTGTGGCATAGCCAGCATTCCATATGGGTGCCGGTTCAAGTCCCAGTTGCTCCACTTCCGATCCAGCTCTCTGCTATGGCCTGGGAAAGCAGTAGAAGATGGCTCAAGTCCTTGGGCCCCTGCACCCACGTAGGAGACCCAGAAGAAGCTCCTGGCTCCTGGCTTCAGATCGACGCAGCTCCGGCCATTGTGGCCAATTGGGGAGTGAACCAGTGGATGGAAGACCTCTCTCTCTCTCTCTCTCTCTCTCTGCCTCTCCTCTCTCTGTGTAACTCTGACTTTCAAATAAATAAATTAATTAATTAAAAAAAAGTGGGAAAGCACAGCTGTATAAAAAGTGAAAAAGTGAAAAACGGGTAGAAATTTAACAACAGATCAATAACTCGTGACCTGTGGATTCTGTCTTATGTAAGAGAGCTGTCTGTCTGAGTTGGGACATTGAGTCTAATTTGTGTGCAAATGCGCAGGTATTAAGTTAGCTGCCAAAGAATTCTGGCATTGCTTTCCAGGTGAAATAAAGTCATAAACAATTTTAAATATACCTTACAATAAAAATAGAATTAAAACATTTTAAAATATGCAACAAACACTCTTATGCTCCTTGTAAGGACAGAAGGCATAAGATAACTGAACATTATCTACAGTCGAAAGTGAGATGAACAGGACATGCCCTCATTTTAGCGACAGATGGGCCTGGAAATAGGACATGTGAAGTTGCTTTGAGATGAGAGTGTCAGTCTATCCAGAGGAACCCCGAAATTTGGCTTTGGAGGGTATGGCCCGATTTCCCGCTGAGTCTTGTTCTGCCTTAGAAAGTAACAGAAACTGGGGCCGGCTCTGTAGCCTAGTGGGTAAAGCTGCCGCCTGCAGTACTAGCATCCCATATGGACGCCGGTTCGAGTCCTGGCTGCTCCACTTCGGATCTAGCTCTCTGCTGTGGCCTGGGAAAGCAGTGGAGGACAGCCCAAGTCCTTGGGCCCCTGTGCCCTTGTGGGAGACCTAGGGGAGGCTCCAGGCTCCTGGCTCCTGCCTTCGGATCCTCACATCTCCAGCCATTGCAGTCAATTGGAGAGTGAACCAGCAGATGGAAGACCTTTCTTTCTCTCTGCCTCTCCTTCTCTCTCTGCGAAATTCTTTCAAATAAATAAATAAATCTAATTTAAAAAATCTGCTTCATTAATTCAGCCATAATCTACCATTTTATTGCCAGCTATCATAAACCAGAATTAACTTCATTAGAGCTAATGTCTCAAGATAAGTAAGCCAGTTTTCTATGTTTTTCAATTTAGAAAAAATTATGTATTTACTTGAAAGGGAGGGAGGGAGGGATGGAGAGTGAGGAAGAGATCTCCAACAGCCGGGATCCAATTTGAGTCTCCCACGTGGGTGGCAGGGATCCAGTTGCTTGAGCCATAACCTGCTGCCTCCCAGGCCGTGCATTGGCAGGAAGCTGAAATCAGGAGTGGATCCAGAACTCAAATCCAAGTACTCTGACAAGGGATGTGGGCGTCCCGAGTGGCGACTCAGAGACTGCGCTAGACAGCTGCCCTGTGTGTGGCACTTTTCTGTTCCTTCCTAGTGCATCATCTTGCTAGAGCTACCATGACAAAGTGGCACAGACTGGGGGGCTTACACGACACGTGTATCAGCTCACAGTTCAGCAGGCCAGAAGGGCGAGGTAAAGGCAGCAGCCTGGTTGCTTCCTTCTGAGGGCTGTAAGGGAGAATGTATCACACCTGCCCGCCTACCTTCTGCAGGCTGCTGGCAATCCGAGATTCTTTGGCTTGTAGGGGCCTCACACAGATCTCTGCCTTCATGCACAAAGGTGCTCTCCCATGTACACATCTGTCTCTGCGTCCAAACTGCCCCACTTTACAGGGACATGTCCTCACGGCTTCATCTATTTTTAAAACATTTATTTATTTACTTATTTATTTGAAAGTCAGAGTAACACAGAGAGAAGGAGAGGCAGAGAGAGAGAGAGAGAGAGAGAGAGAGAGAGAGGTCTTCCATCTGCTGGTTCACTCCCCAGGTGGCTGCAATGCTGGAGCTGGGCTGACCCGAAGCCGGGAGCCAGGAGCTTCTTCTGGGTCTCCCACACAGGTGCAGGGGCCCAAGCATTTGGGCCATCTTCTACTGCTTTCCCAGGCCATAGCAGAGAGCTGGATCGGAAGTGGAGCAGCCAGGACTCGAACCGGCGCCCATATAGGATGCCAGCACTGCAGGCGGCAGCTTTACCCACTTCGCCACAGCGTCGGCCCCAAATTGGCTTCATCTTAACTTGAGCATCATCCACATAGTCTCTATTTCCAAATAGGATCCCATTCGCAGGCACTGCTGGTTAGAACGTCCACGTCTTTCGGGAGACACAATTCGACCCATACCACTGGCGTAAAAGAAGGTCGATTAAGCATTGCCCCTTCATTGCATGCTCCTGGATATCCTCAAGGACTTGCCTAAAGACCAAGAATCCTTATGATAAACGTGTAGGAATTACATTGCAGCTTGAGTCCTTTTCCTCGTGTGTGTAGGCGTGTGTGCGCGTGGCTTTGCTTGTTTTCTGGCGAGCGTGTCCTATCCTGTTGAACCAGCCCTTTGCTAACAGGGCAAACCTGGAGATCAGCTATGCCAAAGGACTCCAGAAACTGGCACTCAAGCTGAACAAAGCCTTACAGAACACCAGGAAAAAGTAAGTATCGTGGCAGAGGTAAGGCAAACGTCGTCGTCAGGAATCAGAAAGAGCAACGCAAGTTCTCAATTCCAGCTTACAACTGTGGCAGCTTCAGGTCAGGCACGGCGCCAGCTCTGGGGCACTTCCTGTGTGCCAAGCGCTGGGCTAAATGTTCCACCTTCAGAGCAGCCCTAGAGAGCCTCATTATTATCCGTATTCCAGGTGAGGACCCACGGTGTGGCGAGTGTATACAGACGAGTCACAGAGCTGCATCCATGCCTGGTCTTGATGACCCCCAAGCCCACATTCATAGCAGACCTCGGTGTTAATATTTAACTCAGGCCGTGGTGTGGTTCAGTCACAAGGTCTTGGAGTCTGGAAATGTGAATCGCTGTTTCTGCTGTGACCTTGGACATGTCACCCAGCCTGTCCATGTCTTGGTTTCTGCCTCTACCTAGACAGAGTCATGACGCAAGGTCCTTCAAATAGTTTGTGAAAATGTGCAATTGCAGAGCAAGTTTATTTTGGTGCAAAACAATTTCGAAATCCATGCATAAGTTTTCCATAGTATGTATTTCCATGAATTTTTTGAAGACCCTTTGTCTGTTGCTCCATTGTGTATATATATGTGACTACATATACCTGTGTATGGGGGCGGGGGGGAGGGAGTGCACATTAAATGGGATAATATATCCAAATAGCTTAGCACCTCAGGTGCTAAAAAATACTGGTTCATATTCTTTCTATATTGCAGCACTTAGAGTGAAGTAGATTTCTTGTTTTGGAGGAGAAAAAGATATTGGTGTTCTAAAAATGATCCATGCGTGCTAATTTGCTATAAAAATTCTTCCTACAAAAATTCTTGACTAATGCATGCAGACTAACTCTAACCCAGTAGTGCTATTGCAAAGGCCTCTAAGGGTGATGAAAGAGGGAAAAAGGGAAGGCCAAGAAGAAGCCTAACGGGGTTCAAATGCCCACTCTGCCTTAGGCATCACTGGCGAGAGCAAGAGATGATTTTGAAATTGCCCTGGCTTTTAGCTCTGTTTTTATTTTTGAGAGCCTTATAGTAGACTACAGAAGAGCCAAGAGAGCACAGTGGTTGGTGATGGATAGACTTTTATTGAGACTGGCCAGTTTTGAATTCTAACTCTACCACTTTAAAATGGAAACGGAAGGTTACTGGGAGGATTAAATGAGATAATACAAGATATGTGCTTAGCAGAATACCTGAAACAGAGCAAAATCTCCTCACATGTTCATTACTTTGATTCTAATTCCCTCCCAAATAACAAGAAGGGTGGGAGTGCAGAGACATGCCTTACTGTGCTGCAACCCGTGCTGCCAAAGAGCTGGCTGATCCAGAAAGTTCCATCAACCAGGATTAGTACAGGCTCTAATAACACACACTCACTGACTGTTTTTCCAAACCATCATCTGTGCTGGGTGCTTTTACGGTACTTCTACTTTCAAAGATCAGTTAAGTGAGGGGAGAGAAGCTGATTATTCAAGGGCTGGCAGGAAACAATGGGAAGGCTCTTCTTTCAGACTGTGGTCCTTAGAGGCCCACATGCTGGATTCGCCACCCTGCTGCCCAGCCGCACTGAGGGGCAAATGTGACATTCTCTCCCCAAAGGTGTGCCTGGCATCCATTATAAATCATGAACTTTATTGAAGTTTAATTCACAAAGCATAATAATCACCTATTTTGAGTACATGGCTTGGTCAGTTTTCACAGGCGTGTGCACTGTGTACCTCCCAAAAGCAAAGCAGGCGTTTTCTTCGTGCCGAAAGAGTTCTTGTGCCTGTGGGTGTTGCAGTTGATTTCTCAACAATGTTGCAGTGGATTCCTTTCTGAGAGGAGGAGTGTGGTGGGGGCAAGAGTGGGCAAGAGGCGCGGAGTCACCACACAGACTCCGGGAGTCGGGTGAAAGCAGGCCTGAGACGAGCAGCCCGCAGATTCATTTATTTGAGTTAGTACAACAGCTTATATAGCCAAGACCAGCCAATCCAGTCAAGGGGCGGTCTATGCCCCAACCAATCACAGCCTGTTGCCAGGCAGTTTCCAAAGCCATACAATCACAGCCTGTTGCCAGTCAGGCTCTTGTCGCCAGGCAGTTTCTGAAACCATCCAATCACAGCCTGCCATCAGGCTCTATTGTCATGTGGTTTCCTCTGTTGTCATGTGGTTTCTGAAGCCATCCAATCACGGCCTGTTGCCAGGCAGTTTCTGTTGTCAGCGGCCATCTTGGCATGACCTTTTCACCTCAGTGGCCATCTTGGCATGAACTTTTCACCTCATTCCACCACATGTGGGCACATCTTCCCCTTCCTAGCCCCAAGCACCCACCCATCTGCCTCCTGTCTGTGCACAGTCCCTTTGTCTGCTCTGGAGTTCCCCATCACTGGAGGCATGTGATAGCTGCTGGCGCTGTTTCGTGTCTGCCTTTGGACATCATTCTTGCATCCAGTTTTCCCCATGCTCAGACTTAGGGTGCAAACTACAGCACCTGGAGGCCAAACTTCTATTCCATCCTCACTCTGACGGTAGTGCAGCTCCTTCCCCTCGCTCTGCACCCAAATCCACACAGACCTGTGGTCCCTGAGATTCATTCACGTGCTGGGTTTATTGTCCTGGATTCCATGGGCTGTTGGAAGCTAAGTCCCCTCTGCAGAGCTAAGAACACACTTCCTAACCCTCCTGCAGAGATGGTCTGGGGGCCTCCTGTCACCAGCCTGTTCCCAACCTTGGCCATTAGAGTACCCCGATTTCCTGCACAGCGGAAATGAAAAATGAAAATCTAAGCTTCAAATGCCTAAGGAAAAAGCAGCAAATAGAATGACTGGAGTGCAAATAAATACCTGGGCAGAATTTAAGTTTATGGAGAAACTGAAATGAGGTTGGGGAAATGCGTGCAACGGCTGTCGGCAGGTGATCAGACGCCATGTTTTATTTCCCAGCGTTTACTGCGGAAAGGATACTCATCCCTGTTGCCCTCTGTCTTTGCCTCTAGCTGTCTCAGCAGCGCCTGGGCCTGGGCCGCAGAGGGCATGAAGTCCACAGCAGACCTGCATCAGTGAGTGCTCCCAGCCCTGACCCTGGCTTCCCTCCAAACCCAAAGGGAGTTTGTGGTGCTAAGTGGGTGCAGTGCAAATATCCCACTTCAAATTTGCACTGGATACACACACCAGAACACACCATTTTATTTCCCCGGAAAGTAATTTGGAAGGTAGATGTAAACCCTCATCTGGCGCTTGTGTGTCTTTGATGTTCTATTTTCAGAAAACTCGGCAGAGCAATTGAGTTGGAGGCGATAAAACCGACTCATCAAATCCTGAGTGTACAAGAGAAGAAGAGAAAATCAGTGAGTCTAAACCTTTTCTTCTCCCCAGTTTAAAACAAGATTTTTGTCTTTGGCCCAAGGAGGAAAAGGTATTCTGAGAGTGGTACTAGGTTTCGGGAATTTATCATAAAAATAAACAGAGTCCTATTATCATAGTGAAAAAGTGGGAACTCCTGCAGTCAGAAATAACTATGAATTCAAGCCTGAGAATGCTATGAACTCTTAACAAATTTATTATAGAGGAATTCAATCACTTGGAGACTTTTTCATAACATAATGATATGTTAAAAAGATTTAAAAAAAAGAAAATGAAAAATCCAAAATAATATAATCCCAATGTTACCAAAAATGGATAGAAAAAAGCTGGAAGACCCTTCCCGAAATGTTACTAAGAATTATCTTTAGGTGGCAGAATTGGGGGCTTGTTATTTTTATTATTTTGTATTTCTTTGTTCTTTCAATTTCTTCATTTAACTTGTAAATAGAAAATAATAAGCACAGTTCTTAAAAAGATGCTTTTCTATGCTTATTAACTTAAGATTATGAAAAGACATTAATGAGTACAATCATCAAGTATCCTTAAAACGAAAGAAAATTAACTAAGCAATTCTTTTTGGGGTATCTGGTCCTCTTTCAGGGTAACTTCTAGTCCTCTGTACCTTTCTTTCAGAAGTTTCATTTGTGCTCCTGTGCCTTTTCCTCTATGTGTCATGCAGTCATTAAACACTCCAAACCATGTCACCAGGCAATATCAGTGGGTGCTGGCCTCATGTTCGGGCTATCATTTGGGATGGTCACATCCCACATCAGAGCGCCTGAGTCTGACATCCAGCTCTGGCTCCTGACTCTAGCTTCCTGCTGATGCACTCCCTGAGAAACAACAGTGATGGCTCAGAATGAGGGACCTGGATTGAATTCTCGGCTTTCAGCTTTGGCCTGGCCTAGTCTCAGCCATTGTGGACATTAGGGAAGTGAACCAGGAGATGGGAGCTCTCTCTTTCTCTGTGTGTGTGTCTTGCAAAACTAAGATTAACAAATAATAAATAAATAAATAAATAAATAAATAAAGGGACGTTAGTTATAATTAAGAATTCAGGAGTACCTGGATTTGAATCCCATCTCTACTTCTGTTTCCGGCTTCTTACTAATGTGCACCCTGGGAGGCAGCTGGTGATGGCCCAAGCATTTGGGTCCCTGCCACCTATGTGGGAGACCTGGATTTAATTCTGAGCTCCAAGCTTCAGCGTGGCCCAGTCTTGTCTGCTGTGGGCATTTGAGAAGTGAATCAATGGTAGAAGATCTCTCTTTCTCTCTCCCCTCTCTGTTATTCTGCCTTTCAAATAAATAAAAATCTTTTAAAATAAAGAGAGAGTGAATGAAAGAAAGAGAGAAAGAAAGAAACCAGACCTCCAAAGCCATGAGTTGAAATAAACCTCTTCCATTCATAAGCAGTCTGTCCTAGGTGTTTACTTGTAATGAAAGTCTGATTAATAGAGCCCACCTGCTAATACCATCACATTGTGGGAAAAGGCTTCAACCTATGAATTTGGGGAGGGTGGGGCACAAACAATTGGTCTACAGCCTTAACTAAACAAGAAGAAAGCAATAACGCTTTCCCTTTTTTCCCTTGCAATAGCTTGATAATGAAGTTGAGAAGACAGCTAACCTTGTCCTTAGCAACTGGAATCAGCAAATTAAGGCAAGTATGCACAAATATCACTGTGTGAACTCCATTTTTGGCATTGAGCCTTTTTGCCGTTGCACAAGTATGATCACATGTTCTAGCATTAGTACTTCTAAATGCTAACTGAAGAGAAAAATGTTTCCTCACTTGAGTTGTTACCTTAATACATCTTCCAGCTTAATCAATAGAAGAGCAACACTCTAAGTATGATTATTTACAGCTAACAAATATGTAGCAATAACAATTTTGTGCCAAGTCCTACATCTTTGTATAATTAATCATCACAACAACTCAATGCGATATGGGACTTTGCATTGTTATTTTGCAGATTGATAAACTGAGACACAGAGAGTTAAGTCATTTTCTCAAAAGATAACAGTTGGACCAAGAATTGTTACAAATCATTGGGCTCCAATGTCACTTCTCTTAACCATTACCTTGTACTGATGGTCTCTGTATAATTTGCAATTTAGGGAAAGTGGCTATTACCACTTGGGATTTTTCATTTGTAGAAGAGTGTTTATGCTCTCTCCCTCAGTAGTGAGAGGGGCATGGCGTGAGGTAGGTAGTGACATGTGAGGGGGAATGCACACACGTTTATATGGTCCACTCGTGCACAACACTGCACTAAGAGATGATCTTTGTTTTCTAGTGCCTTAAGTTACTTGGTGGGGCTAAGCCTCTGCCTGAGGTGCTGGCATCCCATATGGGCACCGGTTCGTGTCCTGTCGCTCCCCCGCTTCACGGAGGAACGACACTAGACCCTGTGCTGTTCTTTTGTCTGCTCGGCCCTTCCGGGTTTGCTGCTGGTTCTTCCCGGGTTGGCTGCTGATCCTTCCACCTCCGTGGAAGGGCGGCTCCCCTTGCCACTTTCCCCACTTCCGCGGGGGAGTAGCACATCGCCAGCCGGCTCTCTCGGGGGCTGCTCAGATGTTATCCTGATGTTCCCTTTAGATGTTCCTGGTGCATGTTGTCTCTCTCCTCCTTTATAGTCCTCTTCCACCAATCCCAACTCTGCTACCCACATGCCGAGTACGCTGCTCTCCTCCAATCAGGAGCAGGATCAGCTCCTGCAGGTTATTGGTCGAACTGGAGGCAGCTGTGTAAAAGTTGTTTACTCCTCTCCCAGCGCCATATTGTGGGAGAGCAGATGCACAGAATAAGTCTTAATTCCAGTAACTTAGTCTAGTCCGAGTTGCTCCCCACAGTGTCCCAGATGCTGTTCTTCCCATTCAGCTCTCTGCTATGGTCTGGGAAAGCAGAAGATGGCCCATGTGCTTGGGCCCCTGCACCCATGTGGGAGACCCGGAATTAGGTCCTGGTTCCTGAACGGCCCAGCTGCAGCCATTGCAGCCATTTGGGGAGTGAACCAGCAATTAGAAGACCTCTCTCTCTGTCTCTCCCTCTCTCTGTAACTATACCTCTCAAATAAATAAATAAATCTGTAAAAAAAAAAAAAAAAAGATGCCTAGATACCATTTGAACAGAAAATAGAAAATGAATGCTAACTAGAGGAATTGCGGTCTGATGTGAGAAGCTGGAGCATGTCATTATAACTTCTTTTTAAAAACTCTTTATAAGTTCTTAAGGGGTGACAATCACAAAGAGTCCCTGTGAACAGAAGACTATTCTAAAATAAGTGAGTACAGGAAGAAGTCATTTGAAGTAGGAAAGATCTGCTAAGAAAACCCAGTGATCCTCTTTGAGGCAACTTGGACTCCAAGAGTTAAAATTTTCTCTTCTCATCTCCAAGTTCGTGTCCAAAGAGAACCTTTGCAAGTAAACATCCTCTACTACCAAATAACCAGATGCCCTCAGAAACAGGTGGTCTTGGCATCGCTTCTGGAACTGAGGAATCCACAGCCAGAAATGTTTGAGATATAGGAATTCCTTACCAGTAGTTGTCCTAGTAAATGCAAGATTGCAAGGATCATTTTTGTAATACATATTTAATGTTCCAGAAAAGATATCTAGTCATTGGTTTTCAGTTTTGCTCTTCAGTTTATGAGCCTTCTTAAAATGCATTTACTTTTAAAAATCAATCTTCTTTCAATATTCAGCTTTCACAGGAAATGCAGCACAATGGACCAAAATCCAGGAATGGTGCGCAGGAGCTAAAACTGCTTCCAAGAACCAAAAGCATCTTTCATTATTTCCCAGTTCCTACCAAGTCATTTGCTAAGTGAAGTGATACTATTTTTTATGAAGGATGACAGAGAAATTAGAGAACATAAAATTCTTGAGCCATACTAATTTTCTCCCCAATTGCAATTCAAGAGATCCAGGCTGTGGATAATGAAGTGCAGTCTACTTGGGAAGCACAATACAAGCCTTAAAGAGCCAGTGCACGTGCCTCACAGCCCCATCCATCAGCAGGCGTGTAACCAACTGAAGGTGGAGGAAGAGGGCCGTGTTCCTTCCTGTCCCATGCACAGCCTTTGCGTGCTGGTTTTGAGAGGCAGAAGGCTTTGCCTCTGATTCCCAAGATCAAAGCCCTCAGACAGGCAGGCTTCGTTCGCTCCTTTCATTATCTGGCTTGACAGTTTTTGCAGTCTTGAGGTGAAAAGCCAGAGAGTCTTTGAGCTCAGTGCCTGAGAGGCTGACTCCAGCTTCAGCCAAGTTCCAACTGTAGAAAAGGAAATGGTCTTCTGATCATAACCCGCTCTGAGATTTGAGGCGGCACCAGGAGGGAGGCTGAGCGCTTTCTCCTTCCCCATCACCTCTGTGTGTCTCTCGCCCCAACCAAGGCACAGCGTTTCACAGGATGCCTGGCAAATGCCCAGCTCCCAAGCCTGGGCATCAGGGAGCAAGATGTCTACCTTTGCTGCAACGTGTGAGAGAGCATTTGTTTTTTTTTTTAAAGATGTATTTATTGGGAGATGCCGCTAAGCCTCCACCTGTTGTACTCCCCAAATGGCTGCAATGGCAAAAGCTGGGCTGTTCCAAACCCAGAAGCCCTGGGCTTTTTCCAGGTCGCCCACGTCGGTGCAGGGGCCCAGGTACTTGGGCCATCTTCCACTGCTTCCCCAGGTGCATGAGCAGAGAGCTGGATCAGAATTGGAGCAGGCCAGCGCCGCGGCTCACTAGGCTAATCCTCCGCCTTGCGGCACACTGGGTTCTAGACCCGGTTGGGGCGCTGGATTCCGTCCCGGTTGCCCCTCTTCCAGGCCAGCTCTCTGCTGTGGCCAGGGAGTGCAGTGGAGGATGGCCCAAGTGCTTGGGCCCTGCACCCCATGGGAGACCAGGATAAGTACCTGGCTCCTGCCATCGGATCAGCGCAGTGCCATTGGAAGACCTTTCTCTCTGTCTCTCTCTCTCACTGTCCACTCGAACCAGCACCCACATGGGATGCTGGCAGCCCAGGCAACAGCTCTAGGCCCTATGCCACAGCCCCCCCCCCCCCCCCCCCCCGAGAGAGCATTTAAAAACTACTTCAGTTGTGGTCCAGATTCCTTTAAGACATCACGCTGGAAGTCTTCAGTGTCTGTGGTGGTATTTTCTGCGGTAAGACCATTTTGCTAGCTAGAAAAATGCTTCCGAGTTTTGCAGGCCTTTGGTGATTTAGCAGAATATATAACCCTCACGAGTGTATCCATGTAATGAAAAGATGCACTGTGGTTCTCAGGGCACGTGCGCACTGCCTGCTATTTTAGGCAGCTTTTGAGGTGAGGGTGGGAAGGAAGAACAAGAAATGAGCAATCATTCAAGCTAGCCCATGATCCAAACAGAAAAACTCTTCTCCATTTTTTTTTTCTTCTATGTGTGTTTTTGACTCTAGGCCAAGAAGAAATTAATGGTGAGCACCAAGAAGCATGAAGCCCTTTTCCATCTTGTAGAGAGCTCCAGGCAATCTGCGACTGAAAAGGAGAAGCGGAAGGTAAGCTGTCCCAGCCGACCCGGCGCGTGCGGCTCTGAGACGGATGCGCTGCGCGCCCTTCGCCCACCACCCCCACCCTGCACGAGAGAACCAGCCGACTCCTCCCTCTGCATGGGGTCCCTGCAGAGCTGCAGCTTGGCAGCGCGTGAAAGAGGATTCCAAGTCATTCCGGGTTCACCTTTGTTGTTAAAAAGTATTCCAAGCCGGCGCCGTGGCTCAATAGGCTAATCCTCCACCTTGCGGCGCCGGCACACCGGGTTCTAATCCCGGTTGGGGCGCCGGATTCTGTCCCGGTTGCCCCTCTTCCAGGCCAGCTCTCTGCTATGGCCAGGGAGTGCAGTGGAGGATGGCCCAGGTGCTTGGGCCCTGCACCCCATGGGAGACCAGGAAAAGCACCTGGCTCCTGGCTCCTGCCAGGATCAGCGCGGTGCGCCGGCTGCAGCGGCGGCCATTGGAGGGTGAACCAACGGCAAAGGAAGACCTTTCTCTCTGCGTCTCTCTCTCTCACTATCCACTCTGCCTGTCAAAAAAAAAAAAAAAAAAAAAAAAAAAAAAAAAAAAAAAGTATTCCTGAGCGGGTGTTTGGTTCAGTGGCTCGGAACACTTGGATCCCGTGGTTGGAATGACTGGTTTGAGTCCTGGCTACTCAGCTTCTGATGCAGCTTCTAGCTGGTGTGCATCCACTGGGGACAGTAGATGCTGGTTTGGGTTTTTTGATCCCTGATACCTGCATGGGAGACCTGGATGGAATTCTGGCCTCCCGGCTTCAGCCTGCCCTGCTCTGGCTGCTGTGTGCATTCGGGCAGTGAACCAGTGGATAGAAAATCTCTCTTTCTCTCTCTCTCTCTCTCTTTGCTTCTGTCTTTCAGATGGAATGAAAATAAAATTTTTTTAAAATATTATTGGCAGGACAAATTAGACCAATGTCCAAATTTTGAAAGGGAATCCTATTAATAAAAACAATTCTCAGCTCACACGCCATCTAAGTCTAAATATATATACTTTATATGTAATTTGCATATTATACATAGTCCTTATGTATAACACTAGTATTTGAGGAACTCTATAGAGCATTAAAAAGTGGAGGTTAACAGATTCTGCCTGACGCCAGCTCTCAGTTCCACTTTCTGCTAATGCAGAGCCTGGGAGACTGCAGTGATGGCGCCAGTTGGGTCCCCGCCACTCACATGGGACACTTGGATTTTTTTTTTTTTAACTTTTATTTAATGAATATACGTTTCCAAAGTACGAATAATGGATTACTATGGCTTCCCCCCAATACCGTCCCTCCCACCCACAACCCTCCCCTTTCCCACTCCCTCTCCCCTTCCATTCACATCAAGATTCATTTTCGATTATCTTAATATACAGAAGATCAGCTTAGTATACATTAAGTAAGGATTTCAACAGTTTGCTCCCACACAGAAACATAAAGTGAAAAATAATAGATGATTTTTTTTAATGATGATGAAATCAGATCAGACCTATTGTCGACACTTGGATTTTATTACTATTGCTCTGTCTCTTTGCCTCTTAAAAAGCAGTAGAATGTTCACAGGATAAGATAAAGATGAGATAATATTTTAAATGATTAGCAAATCACGATGTATTTACAAAATCATCAAGCAATATTTTCAGGCAAAATATAGGGCAAGGTTTAGCCTTAACCACAGTAAACACAAATTCACAATCCTAACAGTCTACCCAATGACTTTTCATTTTAAGTAATTTAATAACTGAGTTCTTTCATCAGCATCTTGTCAGTTCTCACGATGTCATCCCAGTGTTGCTTTTTCACGTGCATATTGGTGCGTGCATAACCAGGAGCCGGAGAAAAACCTCAGCTCGGACGTTTTTTACAGCTTCCTTGCATGCATCATTAGTAACAGCAGTCTGCGGTTCTTGGCAGAAATCTTTCCAAGATATTTGTGCATTTTGCATATAATTGACTTAATTGGAGCTTGATAAAAGTCTGCAGATCCACCTGACCCAGGCTCATGCCAACGGCCACATATCCCAGGAGGCCGGAAGGGAAGACACTCGCCAGGGCCCATGGCAGCTTCCCATGCAGCAGACTCTGCACTCTTCCCCCAGGCCACTTCAGGACCCGTGTCTGTCCACATTCATCAATTCATATGTCCACTCACATAGTCAGTAAGAGTAAGTCTGATAACTGTTCTTACTCAAAAAGGAGCACAAATGATATTGGGGTACAGAAATAAGATCAGAATCTCCCCCCCAAGAGGTGCAGTCCCCATTCGGAAACACAGCTCGCACCACTGCAACCCCAAACATTTTCTTTAAGATTTTATTTATTTATTTGAGAGGCAGAGTTACAGACAGAGAGAGGGAGAGACTGAGAGAGAGAGGTCTGAAGCCAGGAGCCAGGAGCCTCCTCCGGGACTCCCGCATGGGTGCAGGGGCCCAAGGACTTGGGCCATCTTCCACTGCCTTCCCAGGCCATAGCAGAGAGCTGGATCTGAAGAGGAGCAGCCAGGACATGAACCGGTGCTCATATGGGATGTCAGCGCCACAGGCGGAGGCCTAACTGACATGCCGCAGCGCCAGCCCCAAACCCAACCGTTCTTCAAAGGAAAAGAAATGCCATAGCAAGTGGTTCTGTCCAGTGAAAGAGACTGTCAGTTGAGTAACTTAAGGTAGCGTTGTTAGCAAGGTTTTACAAGGTTCTTCTGTCTTCATGGTTTGAAATGCTAGCCCACAGTGCATTAAAACGTTCAGCACCACAACCTGTCCCAGGCCTACTGAACCCTCATTAGCTGCTATTCTTTGTTGATGTCAAGCAATAACAAGAAGAAAACTCACACAGCTAAGTGGTGAACTTCCTCTTGCTTCCTCCACTAGCTAATGGCGTCCCCGGGAGGCAGATGTTCACGGTCCCCACCTCCTCCCGCTGGTCCTGCAGCCATGACCTTTGGCTGTGGCTGCATCACAGATCCATCTCCTCTTTTTTTTTTTTATTTTTTTTTTATTTTATTTTATTTTATTTTATTTTTATTTTTATTTTTTGACAGGCAGAGTGGACAGTGAGAGAGAGACAGAGAGAGAAAGGTCTTCCCTTGCCGTTGGTTCACCCTCCAATGGCCGCCGCGGCCAGCGCGCTGCGGCCGGCACACCGCGCTGATCCGATGGCAGGAGCCAGGAGCCAGGTGCTTTTTCCTGGTCTCCCATGGGGTGCAGGGCCCAAGCACCTGGGCCATCCTCCACTGCACTCCCTGGCCACAGCAGAGGGCTGGCCTGGAAGAGGGGCAACCGGGACAGAATCCGGCGCCCCAACCGGGACTAGAACCCGGTGTGCCGGCGCCGCTAGGCGGAGGATTAGCCTAGTGAGCCGCGGCGCCGGCCATCTCCTCTTCATTGCTTAATCTAGCAGCTTTTTCCAGGCCTCCCACTGAACAGCCAAGGCAGCATCATTTTCTCATCTCACATAGAAGCGCGCTGTCTCCAGCCCGAGCCGGTCCCCTGTGCTTCTCTACACTTCTTCCCATTTCTCAACAGTCCTTGTTCTCACCAGAACTGATCCAAACCTCCACTCACCACACTTCCTGCTGTAGCACCCACTCCCTGCGGACGATCTGGCTCCTATGTCACAGCGACACCATCTGCACATCCGCCCTGGAGAGGCAGAGTCTTCACCCTGTGCGCCTGTCCCGTCCCGTCCCGTCCGGCCCCGCCTCTCCCACTCTTAATAATCCCTCTCTCTCTCTTCTATCTTGGACAGTCCCTGTCTCATGGTTCCTTCCCATCGTCTTCTCGATGCCATTCAGGCTGCTATCATGAATTACTGGAGACTGTAATAAAACACACACACACACACACACACACACAGAGTGGGAGGTGTGCAGAGGGTTAAGTCACAGCTTTCTACACCAGCATCCCATGTCAGAGTGCCATTTGAGTCCTGGCTGCTCCACTTCAGATCCAGCTCCATGATGATGTGACTGGGAAGGCAATGAAGATGGCCCAAAAGTGCTTGAACTCCTGCCACCCACATGGGAGACCCAGATCCTGGCTTTGGCTTGTCCCAGCCCTGGCCATTGCATCCATCCGGGAAGCAAACCAGTAAATGGGAGATTCTCTTTCTCTCTTCTCTCTCTGTCTCTACGTCTCTCTCCCTCTCAAATAAAAAAATATTTTTTGGAAAAAAAAAAGCGGGGGGTGGCTTTGTGGCCTGGTGGGTGCCAGTTCATGTTCCAGCTGCTCCACTTCTGATCCAGCTCCTAGGGAAAGCTATGAGGTCCTGAAGAAGCTCCTGGCTCCTGGCTTTGACCTGGCCCAGCTCCTGCTGTTGCTGCCATTTGGGACAGTGAACCAGCAGATGGAAGACCTTTCTCTCTCTCTGTCTCTCCCTCTCTCTCTGTAACTCTGCCTTTCAAATAAATAAAATAAATATTTTTTTAAAAAAGGAGAAAACCCAAGCATTTATTCTTCACAGTTCTGGAGACAGAGATTGGGGGCCAGCATTAGTGGGTTCTGGCGAGAGCCCTCTCCCAGGGTGCAGACGGCAGTTTTCTGCAGCCACCTCCCAGGGCAGAAGGAAGGCTCCTATTATAAGGACTTTAAACCAATGAGGAGTCTACTCTCATGATCAGATCACCTCCCCAAAGCCTCACCCCCTAACACCATCACATAGGGCAGTAGGATTTCAGCAGGTGAATTTGGGGTGGTTCCATCACACCTCCACCTTGGGAGAGCAGGGAGCGTTAGAGACACAACTTTGCATGCTGCTGCTCCTGTTCCTCCCTAATAATTACCATCTCTTCTTTTCACACTAAGCTTTATGGGAAGGGTCAGCTATGCTGTCTCCACTGCCCCGTCTCCTGTTTACTTGTTAAACCATTCCAGTTAAGCTTCCCCACCATTCCACTCAGAGTGTCCTTGCCATCGGAGGTAATGCCCTCCTGTTCCTAAAGCCAGCGAGTGCTTTCCAGTTCTGACCTTGTTGAACTTCGAGTCCTTAGGCATTGTTTAGTTCCACCTTCTAGAAACCCTTCTTTTAATTTAGCAACATCTTCATCTTTTGGTTTTCCTCCTACCTTTTTGAAAATTTTATCTTAGCCTCTTTTATGGACTTTTCTTGTTCTGCCTGGCCTTTTTATATTCCTGTGTCTGAAGATTTCTCTCCTGGGCCTCACTCTGTTTTATTCACCATCATTATCTCCAGTGTCCGAAGTAGTACTCTCAATACTAAGTACTCAATAAATAATAGGTACTCATTAAATATACTCTCAAGGCTGCGACTACCATATCTATGCTGCCAATACCTAAATGTGTAACTCCAGCACACACCAGTCTTTAAACTGCTTTCTGGCAACTCAAAATCAATATCTAAAACCAGACCTGGTACTTTACTCTATCAAAGATATTCCTTATTCCTATACTCTCTGTATCTTTGAATATCATTACCCATCATATTCTTCCAGATCTAATTCCTAAACCAAATACTTCTTGAACTTTTCCTCCTCCTTTCTCTCTCTCTCTCTCTCTCTCTCTCTCTCTCTCTCTCTCTCTCTCCTCCCCCCTCTCTCTCCCTCCTCTCCCCCTCCATTTCCCTCTCCCTCTCTCTGGCTACTAGTCTTTTGCCTGATTTATTGTAACCAACAGATGGGCCTCTGCTTTCCATGTTGCCCCATCCTGTGTATTTCCCATGTACAAAGCCGAGTCCTCTTCTCTGAAATTTGTATCCAAGCATATCATTCTCCATTGGAAAGGCTTTGCAGGGACCCAGAATAAAGGCCACACTCATTTCCGTGGCCTTCAAGGCCCTCCCTGACTTGGCCCCTGCCCATCACTTCAGCTTCCTCTCTCATAGTCCTCCTCTCAAACTGTGTGCTCCAACCTCACCAACATTGATTTTTTTGTATCAAGTCATGCTATTTTGCTCCAACAATTCCTATTTTCATTTCAGGTTTATTCATGTGGATTTTTTTAAAAGCATCTACTATATGGCAAGTCATGGCTTCACTATCACATCAATTCCAAGGACAGTTTAGGTGCCTCCCTGGGTGCCCCAGTGACACTTAACTATTCCTGCTATCTTGGGATCTACCACACAGGTGGTAGTGGTCTGTAGGGGCCTCCGTCTCCAAAGCCCTGCACATGACCCACTGCAGGCACTCAATAAATGTGTGTGGACTAAATGAATGAGATGTTTGTTGCAAGGGGAGGAAAAAGGGGAAGGAAAAATAATTTAATCTTAGGCAAATATTAGTAATGGAGGTATCTTCAATGAGACCCTAGAAGTCTACGTTCTTTTCTTTCTATTTGAGACTATTTGCTGTGAATTTGCCATGCAGAAACTTCTAGTCCATAGCTCTGTCTTGTAGCTGATGAATATAAGGGGTGAGTTAAAAAAACAAAAAAAAAAACCACAAAGTTCCCATCTCTGGAGATCTGTGCATTTTCAGTAAGAATCTAAGGACAGTGACTTAGCAAAGTATAGCCGTGGCACTCACCAAGCTGACTTACTGTGTTGTTATCAAGTTAAAATTCACAGGCTCATGTTTCTACAGAGAGATGTGGTTCATTACATTTGATATACAAAACCAAATGTGTCCTGTGTAGGTCATACATTGGAGCCAAGGGACAGCTGAATAGCTAGCACAGCAATTGGAATAATAAAGTGAGTGGCAGCAACATCCAGCATTTTGGATGAATGTTCTTCATTATTGTATCATTACCCAACATGTCCTTAAACAGAAAGAGAGTCATTAGTAAAAAGCTTTTGTCTCTGTCCTTGAAACTCCTAAACTGCTTCAGTCAGGGATTCCTTGATGTTCTTTAAAGTATGGCTCCGAGACCATGTGCATGAGGATCATCTGCGAAGGGCGTGAAGTTCAGATTTGCTAATCCCATGGCAGGGCTATTCAGTATTGCTAGCCATGAGACTCTGGAATTTGCTATTTTGCAAGTATCCCAGGTCATTGCTAGATAGTCCAAATTCTGAGAATTATTCATGTAATCCAACTTCCTCATTTCTGAGATGTGAAATTACTTGTCTGGGCGTTTTGATCATCAGTTTCAGTTACCCTGATCCGGAGAGTTTTGTACGATTTTGATTTTTAGATGATCTAACAATCAGAATGCAAATGTTGGTGATTGGCAGCAGGCTGCTTGTGAAGGAGCAAATCACTGGAGAGTGGGGCAACAGGAAACCACTGTGAAGCTGTCCACAACTTACAATACATATTGGGTGTGTGTGTCTTGGCCTTTTCACTAGTACCAGTTATACTCGCTAGTGTTTGAGTGTGGCCCAGGTGTTGGGCCCTGTGCCACATGTGTTATATACGCCAGCTGCTGGATCCTGAGAGCAACCCAGGGAAGCTATAGTCATTTCCCCACCACAAAGCTGAGACACCTGTGGTTCATGAAGGTTAAGTAACTTGTCTGCAGCCAGAACCTGGGCTCTCCTTCTGGAAATCTAATTCCAAAGCTCTACTGCTGGTTTTAGGATGGTCAGACAGAAAGAGAGCTGGGCCTGTTCGAAAACTTAGTTCTAAAAGTTACGTGACTCCAGACATCTCTAAGAAACACAAGGGCCTACAAGACTGCCAAGTCTGGTGGTGACTGCCATCTTGAGTTGCAGATCCTTGACCTGCACTGTCAGTTCTCAAATGCACTGACATTTGACCACCTTTTTGATTTGATGAATGTGGACAAATCACTTCAGATTTAAGGGGCTTGATTGCCTTGAAAAATCATACTGAAAACCCTTGGGTTTCCTTCTGGTCCGGCCATCCCTTTTTTTCTTGAAAAAAAATCTTTGGTTTTGTCATCTGTATTTAATATTCATGACTTTAGCTAAAAAATAAGAAGCATATCATTGGGTCACAGATAATTCTTTGCATGAAATTCCAAAGAGACTTCATAAATGCGTTAATGAATGCATGATAATGCTATTTTAATTTAGCTCCTCAACAAGCTGAAAAAATCAACTGAGAAGCTGGAAAAGGAAGATGAAAATTACTATCAAAAAAACATGGCCGGCTATTCCACCAGACTGAAATGGGAAAGCACACTAGGAAACTGCTACCAGGTACGTGTGCATTCGAATGTTTCTTCTTTACCTCAGCATCCTTCTCGCCTGTTAAGGTCTTCCTGCACCTTCCCTCTCTTTCTTCCCTCTTCTTTCACCAGTCCCAATTTTTATACGGAAGCATCACAGAAATTATCTTCTTTCTTTACAAAATCTTCTTAATGGTGACAAAATATACATTCTTCCACATTCCAGTGACTTCCTTTCAACTTCAGCTTTAGTAGTGTTTAAGACCAAGGTGCTTTTTAAAAAATATATTAGAATTTGATGCACATAGAGTAGGTACTCAAAATTATAATCTCGAGTAAAAGAAGGGTTTCCTTTGACCTCTCTGACTTATTTCCTGGATTTTTGCTGCCACTGTACTGGAAGTCACCAGTATTTCACTCCCTTCCCTTTCTAGTTGATGCACATCATCTTAGCCCACCATCATGTGCGCTTCACTTGCTTCTCGAGTACCAGCGCAAGCTTATTAGACTCAACATGAGACAGCCCCTATCAAGTCATCCTTGACCTAGTAATGATGTCTGCACTTTGCATTTCATTGGCTGATATATACCTAGTCCATACCAACAGGTCATTGACTTACATGTTACTCTCTGAATTCTGTATCTTTCATCTGTTTACAAACTCAAGAGTACAATATCAGATTCATGCAGAGATATACAAAAGATGAGTGGAATGAAATTAAAGGTAATTTTATTATAAGTTGACAGATGGAAGTGGAACAATTGAGTTGTCTGAGTTTCTTTTTTTTTCTTTTTGATTTTCCTTTTATCCGTCTATAAAAGTTGGATATAATAATTCATTTTAGAATTGGATGATGTGTCCTTTTACCCCTTACTACTCCACAAGTTGGATTTAAAATTATTTCAGAAGATACTCACTGAACTATGTTCAAGGCAGTTTACTACATACTGTGAAAAATATCATAAAGTCTTAAGTGTGCCTATTAAGTAGTGAAATCAATTCCACAAGCCAAGTGGCAAAATTAGACTTAGTACTTCATAAGCCACATTTTCTGACTTGCAAGAAGAAACAATATGGCTGATAGAAATAATCTGTTTTTAAAAAACACTAGCCATACTCCTGAGAATCAGGAAGAATCAAATGCTTGGTACTGGTAGCACTTCCTGAAGGAATTATTTTCGAGAGCTATTCACAATATGTGTCAAGTGCATTAAGAATGTTCCCTTTTCTCAGGAGTGGATGGGTGGTGGAGTGGTTAAGATGCCACTTCCGATGACTGCATCCAATATCAGAGTGCCCGAGTTCGAGTCCCCACAATTCCAGCTTCCTGTCAACGCACACCCTGGGAGGCACAGGTGATGGTTCAAGTCGTTGGGTCCCTGCCATCCACGTAGGAGATATCTACTTAGTTCCCTGCTCCCAGCTTAGGCCTGGCCAACCTCAGCTGTTGTGAGCATGTGGGGAGTGAACCAGTGGTTAGGAAATTAAGGAAATCTCTCTCACACTCTCTTTTTCTTTGTTTATCAAATAAACAGAAATGAAAGTGAACTTCCCATTTTCAACCAGTGTTCTTCATCTGACCCACAGAAAATAGTTGGAGTAATTGTTTCCCTAGGTCTCCCAAGGTTGGTACTTAAGTAGTACCACTGTGGGTGCAGACAGATGGCAACTCAGTATACCAGGTGGTGTCTGACCATGGCGAAGAATTTTGAGAAATAAATGGCTAGGCAATTTCATTGCTGTGGGGACATCAGAGAGTGCACTTACACAACCCTTGATGGGCTGAGCCTGTCTCCTGATGCAATCACGAGACACGATAAACGCGAGACATAGGAGGTTGCTGCTGGCATACCATGGCAGATTGCTTTACAATAAACATGATTTTGTAAGTAGAGGCATACATTCTAAAATAACAATAAAATGTTTGGTACATTAGAGACATAAACAGCAATATAATCGTTTATTATCATTATCAAGTATTACGTATTGCACATAAGAGTAAGTGCCATACCACTGGCAGTGCCATAGGCTGGTTTATAGCAGCATCAACACAAACATGTCAGTAATGCACTGCACTGTGACCTTATGACAGCGGGAATGTCACCAGAGTTATAAATTTTTCAGATCCCTTTTAATCTTATGGGACCATAATATATGCAGGTACTTCAAACAGACCATGGAAAATAGATTTAAAAGAGAAGTGTATTGGGGCAAGCATTTGACACAGCAGTAAAGATGTCCCTTGGGACACCCATATCCCACTATCAAAGTGCCTGGGTTTGAGTTCTTTCTCAGCTCCCAATTCCAGCTTCTTGCTAATGTGCACCCAGGGAAGCAGCAGGTGATAGCTCAAGTGGTTGGGTTCCTGCCACCCATGTCGGGGGCTTGGACTGAGTTCCCACCTCCCAGTTTTGGCCTGGCTCAGGTATGGTTATTGCAGGAATTCAGGAAGTGAATCAGATGATGGGAGATCTGTCTCCCTCTCATACTCTAACTTTCAAATAATTAATTTAAAAAATGTTTACTTTGGTGCCAAAAAAAAAGAAAGAAAAAGAAAGAAAGAGAGAAATAAAGAAATCCTTATTTGTATGTGGTCCCTCATTGACCAAATGTCAGTATGTGGTACATGACTGTGTATACAATAGATGTCTTAGGACACTAGTGCCTAATTTTCTCCTGAGATCCCTGTTGAAAAAGGTAATTTCATTTCCATAAACTTATCTCGACAAAGCAGTGGGAAAACAAGACACAGATTTCTGTTGAAAATACATTAAAAGTAAATGGGCAGAAATAATTCACCTAGCCAACACTAAAGGAAACACTACATGAATGAATACCCACCTACACTGTGGGGTTTTGGAGACTGATGGTGTGGGAAACTGCTCATGATAAGATTAAGTGACAAGAAGAGGATATCAAAGTTGAATAACTTGACGGCTAACTAGATATTAAAATCATACATACACTCAGACCTAGACAAAAATGCAGCAGGACGCTAACAGCAGCCATCTTGGGGTGGAAGAATTCTGGATGATTTTTAACTATTTCTTTGTGGACCTTGTGGTTGTAGGATGATGTCTATAAGCATCTGGGGTGCTTGTTAAAATTCAGATACCTGAGTGCCTCCCTATATGTGGAAAATCAGAATCTCTGAATGATGTTAGGTGACTTTTTTCTGAAGTTTCTAGAAAGAGCTTATTTCTTTTATAAGTTTTATGAAAGCAACTGAAATGAAAACGAAGTCCCTCCGAGTCCCTCCTGTAGTACAAGCCTAAGGCCAGGAGAAGGAGTCAAAAAGAACCAGTGGAAAGTGTGAATGATTGGGACGGCTGTTTCCTGGAAACTCTGACCACATTCTCTTCACATGCGCTGTTGTGAAAGCACAAGGGGACCGTCTGAGGTCCTCCAGAGTCTCTTATTTCTCTCTTGCCCATTTTATATAAAAAGAAGATAATAGAAAGCAATAATTCATTAAATGAGATATGGATTTCCCCCTTGCACAGTGGAATTTATTTAAGTCTCTTTTCCTGTGCAAACATAGATCATTTTAATGATTTCCCTGAAATGTAATTAAAGTCTGTTAAACATTACCATCTCCACCCCGGGACACTGGTTATTCTAGCATCAGATCGATGCTCGTGGTTCAGCACAATGTTTTCTCATACTTGGCTTTCGTTCTCTCCCCATCCTTTGCTCATCAGGCTAAGCTCGAACAGCTGATTCTAGATCTTTTTCTATAGGGTAAGAACTTTTTCTTTTTGAAAATTGTCATACTTGAGATTCAAACAACTGAGCAGAATTGGTTTTACATACTGATTAAGAGACACGTCTGTTCTGCCCCAATACGTTTGGTAGGCTACGTGCATCCCTCTGCGTGCATGGGGCTCGTGACTACATTCAAATGGCTGGTGCCTATGATTCTGGAGAAAGACTTAGGTGACTGCCAGCAGAAACAAAGGCATTTGGTGTGCATTAACTTGGAAAAATTGTGCAGCATTTGATGCAACTAAGAGGCACAGGGCTGGCACCGTGGCGCAATAGGTTAATCCTCCACCTGCAGCGCCGGCATCCCGTATGGGTGCTGGTTCTAGTCCCGGCTGCTCCTCTTCCGATCCAGCTCTCTGCTATGGCTTGGGAAAGCAGTAGAAGATGGCCCGAGTGGTTGGGCCCCTGCACCCACATGGGAGACTCAGAAGACGCTCCTGGCTCCTGGCTTCCGATCGGCGTAGTTCCAGCCATTGCAGCCATTTGGGGAGTGAACCAACGGAAGGAAGACCTTTCTCTCTGTCTCTCCCTCTCACTGCCTGTAACTCTACCTCTCAAATGAATAAATAAAATCTTTAAAAAAAAAAAAAAAAAAAGAGGCACAGCTCCAGGCTTTCAACACAAATATCAGGGCACTTGGCATGAAAATCTTAATTTGGGTGTGGGTTGGGTGTGATTGGCATAGATGTTCACAGTTACTAAGCTTATATACTATTTTGCCTGTAAAAGCAGTGTTAAAGTGACTTCACACTGGTACACAAAATGGGGCATACATGTCCATATCATGGGAGAATATTCAGCCTTTAAAAAGAGGGAAACTTGGCACAGGCTGTCACAATGATGAACTTTGAAGACATTATGCTAAGTGGAATATCCAGACACAAAAGGCAAATACAGTATGAGTCCTTTTACTTATGGTACTTAGAGACAGAAAGAAGGATGGGAGTTGTCAGGGGTTGGAGAGAGAGAAAATACAGAGTGACTATTCCGTGGATACAAAGCTTCAGTTTTGTAAGATGAAAAAATTTCTGCAGACAGATGACTGTATGGTTGCACAACAGTGTGAATGTATTTAAAATGTACACTTCTTATGCATTTTATGTTTTTACTTCCACATGTATTCTATGTCATGTTTATTCTGCTGTAATATAAAAATATAAACATTTTCAATTTTTAATGACTATATACCATAGGTGAAATAACACCACAAGGAGGTAGAGGAACACCATGCTGGATGTGGCCAGGGGGCCCCTGCAGATGAGCCAGGAGACGCAGAAAGAGGGGACCCAATTACCTGTGTGACTCTCTTCACCCCACCTCCCTCACCGCACCAAAGGCCTTGGTACACAGCTGCCCATCCTCCGCCCTTTGCTAATGTTACCCACTGACACCCCCGAAACCCTCTTCGTGAAAGAGTCTTGCTCAGTGCTCTTTCCTCGGTGGCATGGAGGAGCTGGTGTGGTGGGTTGAGAGCAAACAACCTGGCCTTCCCTGGATAAAAGAATGTGAGTCTTGACCTAGACCTTACCAAAGGGTGGGGAGCATGTCTTCAGCACCTGCCACTTCTTTCAAAGCCCAAAGTCAGTGGCAAGAGTCTAATCACCAACATGCCCTAAAATGCGGATGGCTAACAAAGCAACTGCCGTGCCCTCCCGTCTCTAGTCACCCCCTCCTAGCCCAAATCATCAAAGTCTAACGGTGGAATTTTCATCATTCCACACAAAACGGGAGGCTACGTTCCCACCTTTGAACAGTGGACTCCGCCCACCCACCAGGCCCAGTTTTAGGCCAGGATTGTGGGGATTCTGCCTTCCAAGCTGTCTCTTTAAACAGAGGATGTGTGTCTCACCATCCTTGCCCCTGCAGATTCACAGAATATCTTGGAAACACTAGACAATGATTCTAAGATATTGAGGGTCTAAGGACATTTTCAAGCCGTCGCCTGGGTTTTTCTGGGCTGTACTCCCTTTCTCTAGGACTCACGAACATTTCCTCAATGTTTCCGTGTTCCCCTTCCTTCCCCGTCTTTGTGAACACAGCCTGTGCCTAATGCCTTTTGGGGCAAAAGAGCCAGGGAAAATTAGGAGTTTATCGTTTATCCTTTTTAAAGGGGGGATAACAAGGCAGACGGGCTGTCACGTCTCTCTCCTGCACTGCAGCTGCGGCATGATGGCGTCGAGAGTCAAATCCCGAGAGTTTGTTCAAGCCTTCCTCTCATGTGCCAGTGTTTGGTGGGTGACTTCCGTTTCGCGTGACAACTGGCTGATCCTGCCTCCTTGTCTACCCTTTTCAGAGCATCCTGGAGCTGGAGAAGGAAAGAATTCAACTTTTATGCAATAACCTAAACCAGTACAGCCAACACATTTCTCTTTTTGGCCAAACACTGACTGCAGTGAGTAGTGAATATCTCTCCATTTCTGGTGCTTTCTGGGTAAGAACTGACAGGAGATATTGCCCTAGCAACCATGCTCTGCTTTCCTTGGCATTGCAGTGCCACACACAGATTCACTGTGCCATCAGCAAGGTTGATATTGAGAAAGACATCCAGGCTCTGATGGAAGAAACTGCAACGTCGTCCACAGAACCCAAGTCCGAGCTGCTACTAACTGATTACTTTGTAAGTATGGAATGGCTCGAAGTTAACTTAACAGGGAACCTGCCATGTTCTGAGGGATGCACTTTGAAGAAAAGGAAAGCGACTGTAATGGAAATTTTGTTTTCTTGGTAAATTAAAATGTTCATTTTTTTTCTAAGTCTGTATAAACGGGGCAGTGGAAATGACTCTGGCATTCTCTGGAAAGGTAGAAGTTTTGGACAGAATATTCATATTCTGTCTTTGTCCATTGTGTGTTGCTATCACAGAATACCAGACTGGGGAGTGATAAAGAACAGACGCTATGTGCTTGTGGTTCGGGAGGCTGAGATGTGCAGCGTCTAGGGGCTGCCTCTGGTGAGGGCCTTCGTCTGGTGTCCTGGTGCTTCACATGCCAAGAGAGAACAAGAAAGGGTCAAACTATAGCAAACCCACTCATGTGATGATGAAGCCGCTCCTACAACATCAACCCCCCAGGTTTAATCACCTGACCACCTCGTACAGGTCCTGCCCCCCTTAGCACTGCTGCAATGATGACTGAGTTTCCAACACATGAACTCTGGGAGATAAATTCAATCCACAGCAGTCTTCTCGAAGGGTAATGCCAGGCAGACACATTTCATGATTTAGAAACAATTATTTTATAGCACATGGCACCTGTATTCGTGGTCTACACAAATAGCAATGTAATGAACTAGCTCCAAACTTAAGGGCTTAAAAACGAACATTTATTATCTCATGGTGTATGTGGGTCAGGATTCCAGGCATGGTGTAGCTGGGTGCCTCGGAGCCGCACCCAAGGCTACAGAAAAGGTGTCAGCCAAGATGGCAGACATCTCAAGGCCTTCCTGGGAGAGAACCCACTCTCAAGGTCACTCATATGACTTTGCCAGGATTCTGGCTCTCTATCTGTTGGCAACATTTTCTTCCATGTGGGTCTCTCTCTCTCTCTCACAATACGGCAGCCTGCTTCTCCCAGAATAAGTGATCCAAGAGAGTCCGAGTGCCCAGGAAGGCGTCATAGTCTTCCACAAGCTAAAGTGGCATATCATCCACTTGCTAGAAGCAAGTCAGCTAGTGTTTAGGGAGAGGAGACTACACGAAGGCAGTACTAGGGGTGGGAATCAGCATTTTCCATGCTCTCTTCTCTTCACACACTTGGCTGGACCAAGTTGCCTGGAGCTTGTTTTGAGAGTGTTTGGGTGGCTCAATAAAGGAATAAAATTCCTTTCTGGAAATTGATCAGCATCCCTGGACAGAGCCACATATGCTGCTTCTTGTAGTCTTAATCATAGTGTTTGAGTGTAAGAGCTGATCCCTAATCAGCAAAATTTGCAGAATGAATTTCTGCGAGCTCTTCCCCGGGCCCTCTGTTTTGTTGAATTCAGATTTCCAGGGCCCTGACTGGGGTGCGCTGGGAAGGGATCTCCTCCCTCTCTGAAATGTAGAACCAGCCCACTCATCTGCCCTCCCTTGGGATTAAATCACCTGAAGTCGCCATCCTGGCCACCTGCTTGGGAACAAGAGATGAGGGGGAAGGGAGAGCTGGTTTGACTGGGCACAGCAACGAATCCTGATGGACTTTCCCCTTCCCCACCCTCCAGACAGCAGCAAATGATCAACTATTTTTGAAACTGTCTTTTGTTCCTCCTCTAGCAAAGGCAAAGTTTATCAACAACAACAACAAAAAGTCTGTTTAAAGCAGAAACTAAGGTAGAGATAGATGGGAATGAAAAGGAATATCGGATTACCCGAGGAAAGTCTCTTTGTTTTCTTCCAAACAGCATAGGTGAGCCCTGAGAAGGGAAAATATGCGATTACAACGCATCTACTACTTCTTCAAAAGATAATGAAAATGCCCCTCTTGATAAGCTGCCAATCAATAAGGCTCATTTTCCTTGGTTCTACTGAAATGATACAAAGCAGCCACAGTGATACATCTTTAATCCACCTGCACATGGGAATTTCTGATTTCTGTGGAATGTCAGGGCATTAGAACTCCCAACCACGTGTCTGTGGTTTAAGAGAAAGGACCATGTCTCTAAAGGAGTGAATAGAGTGTTCTTGATATCCTTAGAGCAAAGCACCACACTGTCTGACTTCATGGTCTTTGGCAGTAAGTGTATACTGGCTTGTAGTCAGTACTATGCAATCTACAAGGCCCAGGCAAGATAGGTGAACAATATGAAGACAAAAAGTGGAGGACTGGTGACCAACGTGAAAATATTTATAAGGATACTGTAAATGTCAAGTTCAAAAGATTGTGCCTGTAGTTTTATATGCCTTTTCCCTAACAAATCTTTGGAAGGGAAGGATGAATTTAATAAAGTTAAACAATGATAGTATACCCCCTCCTCCAGTTGATCCAGAGTTAATCTATGCCTGGAAATATTTGTTTAAACAACAGCTATCCTAAAGAAATCCTATGAAGTCTTGGGTTTGCACATGAGCTAGAGTTATGTTTCGTATTTCTCCAACACAGAAGGATTTAGGATTGGAGAAAGGCATCTTTGCAATCAGCGAGAGCTCAGCTGTGAGCAGATACATGAAGGAGTGGTAGACTCTTTGGGGTCACAGTCCTGGAATTGAGTTTCAGGAATGCACACCTACTAGCTCTTTCAACTCGGACCTTCTTTGTTTCTCTGTGTCATAAGATATGGAAAAATTAAAATGAACCATATAGAGTTATTGTGAAAATTGCATGTAATAAAGGATACAGAGAACCTTTTACAGTGCACAAAGTGGTTTTATCTATATGTTACTGTATAGAGGCTACTCCCTGCCCTAAAGTTCACACTACCCTCTCTTCACGAGGATCTCTCTAAAGCGTCTCTCTACCAGCACTCAGGATCCTCGTTTTTCTGGTTCCTTATCAGAGAAGCTGGCCTCCTCCGCGTTCTTCCTGCAGTATCAATTTCCCCTTTACTGCATGGGTTTCCGTCCCTCTGTTATATTCATGGTAGACCACCTCCTAACCCCATTTTTTTCTTTTTTTCCATTCAAGCCTTGAAATATTGCACATGAAAACTCAGATATCATTAATGAGTTCTTACACCTACATGATTAAATCCTTTCTTCAGCCCTAAACTACTGAGACAACTACTTCTATTGTTATCACTCAAACAACTGATCTATTGATCATTTATGATACATGTGAGTGCTCCCCCGTCCTTTGCTTGTGCCATTTCTCCTGCCAGCAGTGCCGTGTGCCCTCTTTTCACTTGTCTGGAAAATCCTGCTGAAGTCTTCCAGCATTCTAGAAGCTCTCCTCTGTCCCTGTCTTTCAAGTCTGCACCATCCATGGATGTATGAGGCCTTCTGTTGCAAGTTCAAGACCTAATGAAATTATAAACCTATTGTGAGCAGAGCAGGTGTTTTAGCTCACACGTTCCCAGTACCAAGCGCCCACACTGAACTCAGTACAATTTGTTCTGTTCCTGAAGAAGTCCTTCCCTGAGTCATGTATGTGATATTGCCTTTGAGCCTTGAAAGGACTCTAACTTGAAAAAAGTGAAATAGGAAACAATGAGATTCTAATCCACAGATGACCAAGAATCTGAAATAACTATAAAAACACTCAGCCTCCAAGAATCATTTGATCTGTTGAAGAAAGTGCTTAACCATGTTCTCTGAAGATGTGAGCCAGGAGGCGGTTTCTTAATAAGGACTAGAACAGATAGAAAAATGTGCATAAAACCAAAGATTATCTTCTTTTATTTTAAACTTCTTTTCTTCCATAGAAGTAAAATTAAAGGCAGTCTGTGAAAGTCAGTGCAACTGGGACTGCCAACTTCTGCTTTTTCCCCTGAAGCTGTTTAATAGCCTTTTATTTTCCTAAAGGAAGAAGATCCCAACAATGCAATGAATAAAGAGAGACGGAAATCTCTAATAAAACCAAAATTGTCGAGACTGGAAAGAGACATTGAAAAAGCCTCAAGAGACAAAGAAGGTGTGTAGTGATCTCTTTGAATGGCCCCAGTAAGGGAGAGTATCATACTCAGAGGTTTCATTCAGAGCTAAGGTTAATGTGCTTTTGTTGACCTGGGCAAGGATCATCTCATTTAAACAACCTTATCCTACCTTGTGTGATTAAAGAAAAATAAAAAAGTAGAGAAAGCAGGAAATGTAAAATGACATGTTGGTCTATTTGTGAGAAATAAATAAGTACTATACTACCATTTCCTGAAATGCAGTGTTCCACTGTGTTTCTGAAATTGGCTGGAATGAGAGACCATTTGTTTGCTTTAAAGCATGGTAAGCCTATCCACAGGAACTGTGTGGGTTTTTTGTTTGTTCCTTTTTACTGAATCTCAAAACAATCTGCAGATCATTTACATTCAAATCTACCCATAGAAATTAGGTTTGATTCAACATGAATAAGCCCTAAAGCAACGCAGGTGATAAAAATGACTCCACAGTGATGATTCTGATCAGCATAGCTGGTTTGCTGTGGCCCACAATAATTCAATGCCATGTAATATTGGATAGGAAACCCAAGTGTTTAATGATGTGAATACCATAATGAGGAAGATACTAACATTACGTGTTAGTTAGGGGTCATGGCAATGGTTCAACTGAAATAAATTCAAAATCTCATGTTGAAAAATAATAAGACATTTAGGCACAAGTATTTTCAATGAACAGTGAGTTCCACTATCATTATTCATTCTGAAAAGCGTAGTAACAATCACATATAGAAACTCCTGCCCCAGCATTTGGCTTGGATTCTGGGTTTAGGCTCCCTTAGGGGGTGACTGACTCCTAGCTGTGTCCTACCAGGGCAGGATGGAAGGTCACTGAGAACATGATTTCATTTTCAGGCCTGGAACGAATGCTTAATGTATACTCTAGCAACTCTTCCTTCTCCGATGCAAAGAGCCAGAAAGACACAGCAGCGTTAATGGATGAGGTAAATATTTATAGAGCACATGTAGTGATGAAAGGATTATTTTTAGAATACTTGTTCTCTGGCCCATATGCCTTCTGTTTGCCTTTCCTTTCTCATGACATCGAACAATCTAGACAGAGAGCCCACAGGTCAGCTTCTTCGTAAGCAGTTGGAGGATCTGGAAAAAAATCCAGCTTACTAGAAATTTTTGCTTTAGTGTCTTCTTGAGGGCACTAGGAAAAAAGAATTGTCTCCAAATTAGAGTTATTCCTTAAGGGTCTGCAAACCATGAGCACTTTAAGAAAAGTAACTGTAATTGCAAGGTTTTTTTCACAAAGACCTGCAGATTTAACTCTGCTGGTTCCAGAGACCTGGGATAACTAGTTTTTTCATTTGCAAAATGGGTTTATCAATATCTTCACCATAGGGCTTTGGAAAGGATGAAGCATTGTTTAGAAAATGCTAGCAAAGTGCTCAGAGGAGGAGCTCCAAAACTAATGCAGATGGTCCCCAATTAACGATGGTTTGACTTAATGATTTTCTGACTTTATGTGACAGTGTACCTGTTCAACTACTGCTTTTCACTCGCTACTCAGTAAGTTACTTGAGATATTCAACACCTTACTATAAAATAAGCTTCAGCAGGACGATTTTGCCTAATGGTAGGCTAATATAGGTGTTCTGGGTGTGTTTAAGATAGGCGGGGCTAGGCTATGATGTCCAGCAGGTTAGATGTCTTCTTGAGACATGTTCGGCTCACGTGCGTTTATCAGGATATAAGTTCAGAAGCATCTTTCCCATTAAGATGCTATTTTCCAGTTGATATCAGGGTCCTTGGAGAGTCACAGGAGAAAGGGAAGATGTGGCCACACGGAAGGAAGAAGGCAGCCTGGGGTGTGAGAGCAAAGCTTCAGAGGGTGCAAGGATTAACTTTAGAGGCAAGGGTCTCAGGTGGGCTAAGGCCGGGGAGAGGAGATGGTCCGAGAAGGGCAGGGGCTGAGCCTACTGGTCTTTTTGCTGAGACCTCAGACTCCAGTAGCCCTGACATTCCTGGGATGATGGACATTCTAGCCACTTTGGAATAATAACATCAAATGGGCAGTTAGCAGAATATCCATTGATTTCATGTTGCCCATGGAAAGCTTCTTAACTTCTTTCTTATTTCATTGTCTTTTGGTGCCTCGAGTGCAGTAGTTGAATCAATAATGTTGGCAAGACAAGATATATGACAAGTCACTGTGAAAACTGGAGACATTTAGATTAGATATTGTCTTCAGATATCAGAAGCAGTGCCACAAAGAAGAGGAATTGAATTCAATCTATCTATAATGCTTGCAAATGCATCAGCCGCTAATGGCAGGAGTGAGGGAGCTTTTGTCTTAATCTGAGGTATGACAGGGATTCTGTCCATGGCTGTGACCCCCTAGCAGGGACACTGGGGTTAGGACTCCCCGTGCTGAAGTAGTAAAGAAAGGGATAATGAAGAGGGTTGGGTAAGCAGGACCCTTCCAATGTTCAGATTTTGTTAGTTGGTTTACCCTATTGAACACAACCTGACAAAGAAGTAACTATAAAGTGTCTAGTTCAGGGTCAACCCAAGAACAGGAAGAGACTGCAAGTTTGTGTGCATGTCTGTGTGAGCTGAACATGTGCATGTCTAGATCTCTCTGCTATTCTGGAAGTCATCCTGATGTCCCCCTTCCATAGCCAGTAGCGCTCTGGTTTTCTGGAAGTTTACTCACATGGCAAAATGATGTATCCACAGAACAATCTGAAACTGGACCTTCTGCAAGCAAATTCCTATAAACTTTCATCTGTATTGGCAGAACTGGAGCAAAGACCTAAGCCCAGCCATCCCTGTAGTAACTGCATCTTCAAATGGAAAGAAAAGGTGAAAGTGAAGAGATTTATATTTTTTTTTATTTTTATTTTTTATTATTTTTTTTTTTGACAGGCAGAGTGGACAGTGAGAGAGAGAGACAGAGAGAAAGGTCTTCCTTTGCCGTTGGTTCACCCTCCAATGGCCGCCGCGACCGGCGCGCTGCGGCCGGCGCACCGCGCTGATCCGATGGCAGGAGCCAGGAGCCAGGTGCTTTTCCTGGTCTCCCATGGGGTGCAGGGCCCAAGCACCTGGGCCATCCTCCACTGCACTCCCTGGCCACAGCAGAGAGCTGGCCTGGAAGAGGGGCAACCGGGACAGAATCCGGCGCCCCGACCGGGACTAGAACCCGGTGTGCCGGCGCCGCTAGGCGGAGGATTAGCCTAGTGAGCCGCAGCGCCGGCCGAGATTTATAATTTTTTGATTGGGTTTGCTGGGCACAGTGGCTCAAAGTACCACCAGGGCAAATATGTTTTGGGGACTGTATGTGCTATTTGTTCCAAATCCTAATTGAGAATTTTTAAAAAGAATTTTTTCAATAACATGTATTAATTGCATATATTTTTTGGGTACTGTATGATATTTCAATACATGTGTGTAGTGTATACAGATCAAATTCAGGGAAATTGGTATGGCCATCTCCTTATCATTTCTGCAGGTATACAGAGATACAATTAGCTTTTCTAACTGACTTTGTATCCAGTATCTTAGTAAATTTACTTACTGAGTCTAGCCATTTGTCTGGAAATACCTTTAGATTTTTTAATGTACAATTCATGTTATATATGAATATTCATGATTTTGGTTCCTCATCTTAAATCCTTATGACTTTGATATCTAATTCTTTCCTCTCTGCTCTGTCCAGAGCTTGTGACAACTGCATAATTTTAAGATAAATTTATTTTTATTCCTTCTGAGCACAATAACACAAGCTGAACACAATACATTCTCTGTAGAATAAATTACTGAGGAGTAAACACACCTTGGAATCCTTCTTCCTCATTGTTTCTCAACTTTATCCTTTGAATTGGCTTTTATAGTAAAATTTCTATGTAATGAAAATGTAACTGAAATTGTAAGTTTCTGGTATACTGATTAGAGTTTAAGGTGTTTAACATAGTGCAGAGCGTGGGTAATCTGTAAGCACAATTTTTAAAATTCACACCCACCTATTTTTCCAGTGTTTGCACTCTAAAGGAATTGATGGTGAGCAGGTGAATGCTCGAGAGTAGCTCTTGCTTGTAGCTGTTTTCCATTCATAACCAGAGGGGGCGCTGTAACCAACTTGTGATGAAAGGACAGTTTTCTTTCTTTTTTTTTTGAAAAATTTTTAAAATTTTATTTAATAAATATAAATTTCCAAAGTGCAGCTTTTGGATTACAGTGGCTCCCCCGCCCCCATAACCTCCCTCCCACCCGCAACCCTCCCATCTCCTGCTCCCTCTCCCATCCCATTCACATCAAGATTCATTTTCAATTATCTTTATATACAGAAGATCAATTTAGTATATACTAAGTAAAGATTTCAACAGTTTGTACCCACACAGAAACCCAAAGTGCAAATTACTGTTTGGGTACTAGTTATACCATTAATTCACATGGTACAACACATTAAGGACAGAGATCCTACATGGGGAGTAAGTGCACAGTGACTCCTGTTGTTGATTTAACAATTGACACTCTTGTTTATGGCATCAGTAATCACCCTAGGCTCTTGTCATGAGTTGCCAAGGCTGTGGAAGCCTTTTGAGTTCACAAACTCAGATCTTATTTAGACAACGTCATAGTCAAAATGGAAGTTCTCTCCTCCCTTCAGAAAAAAAGTACCTCCTTCTTTGATAGTCCATTCTTTCTACTGGGATCTCACTCGCAGATCTTTCATTTAGGGTTTTTTGTTTTGTTTTGTTTTGTTTTGTTTTTTTGTTTGCTTGTTTTTTGTTTTTGCCAGAGTGTCTTGGCTTTCCACGCCTAAAATACTCTCATGGGCTTTGTAGCCAGATCTGAATGCCTTAAGGGCTGATTCTGAGGCCAGAGTGCTGTTTAGGACATCTGCCATTCTATGAGTCTGCTGTGTATCCCGCTTCCCATGTTGGATCATTCTCTCCTTTTTATCAGTTAGTATTAGCAGACACTAGTCTTGTTTATGTGATCCCTTTGACTCTTAATCCTATCATTACGATCAATTATGAACTGAAGCTGATCACTTTGACTAGTGAGATGGCATTTGTACATGCCACCTTGATGGGATTGAACTGGAATCCCCTGGCATGTTTCTACCTCTACCATTTGGGGCAAGTCCAATTGAGCATGTGCCGAGGGACAGTTTTCTTTCTAAGAGGCTCAGGAGTTCTAAAATGGTTTCAGTCATTTAGAGCTAGGATAATTTCACTTGCATTAAGCCAATTAAAATTGAACTTGTGTAATTAGTACAAGATCAAATCAAGAGCAGAAAGAGACTAGGGGTTAAGCAGCAGTCTTTATTTTTATATGCAAATAGCCTAGAATATTTTTCATGGGTAATTCATAGAAGTAATGTTATGAATATTATTATTTGGCTTAGACATACAAGACAGAACTGGAAATATAGGTTATACAATACATCAAATTGTATCCTGAAATTCTGAATTTTGAAAATATGGAGGCTTCAGAAACAAAGCTTAATCATGGTAGAGCTTAGGAATGTACTGAATAATTTATTTCTACAACGCCCCCTCCATTAGAAAAAAAAATTGCAGGGGAAAACAGCTACAAAGTTACTTTTCATGAATACTTATGATATTAGTGCTGCTTAAAATGATTTCTTTCTCACTATTTGAACAGGAGCATATGCACAGTTACGTAAAGCTCTCTCGGCCTACTTTGACGAAGAGGTTGGAGAATGCCGTGAGCCGGGCATCTGCTGGCGGGCAGAACCACCCAAGCTCTTCATCTGCAGGTAATCCACTGCCCAGAATAACTAGGCGCTCTCACCTATATTTGCTCAAAAAAACCCTGCATTTCAGCTGAGACTGATTAATCTAATAGAATCTGCAGCTTCATGTACAAATGCAACGCACTAAGTGGGAAGGCGTCCAGGAGCGTGCAGGTTGGGGCAAGCATTTTATCTTAGGAGAAGTCAGGGCAGAGGCGGTGTCAGAAGGCTGGCTCCCCTTCGTTCAAGCAGCCTGCAGCTGCTATCCACACAGTCACCTCTAATCCACAGTGAAGAGCTCAGCAGCCGTCTCAGTCTCCTACAAACTTCCATGGAAATTCTGTCCTCCTTGCAAAAAAGATGGTGACCCAGGTGGTTTTTCTGGGCCACTCTTGGCCTTGGAACTCATGATCTCCCAGCCCCTTTATTCAGCAATCTGCCTTCAGTCATTCGCCTTCCCAACCTACTGCACTTCACCTTTCAACGCATAAGCACACAAATTTGCTCATGCAACTCATTGTCCACTGTTCAGCTTGTGGCTACCATAATCTCAACTCCCTAACTTCTTGATCAGAAATTGGGAAAAAAGTGTTTCGATAAATAAAAATAAATAAATAAAACAAGTATTTCAATCCATAAAAATAAAATAAATTCTAAAAAGGGCATTACGGCCCACACAATGTATTCAAGTCACTGTTGCATTGTTTGAAAACAGTTCCACAAGCACCAAAGGATGATGATAAGAAGTTCATGCTCCAAATCTCCCTTCCGGAGTAAAACTAGTGTGTGTGCCCCTACCTGAACAGCAAAACTGGTGTATGTTTTTCCATGCAAGCACCGTAACTATTATCTAACTGACCAAGCTCATGTAATTTTAAATGGTCATCTTTACTATTATGACAATAACTTTTTCTCCAGACTTATTATTTCCTGTATGATGACTTTTGGTTATATAATATACACATTCCAATACACACACACACACACATACACGTACATATATATACTAGACATAATAGGTGCATCAAAAATGGTGAATCAACAAATGCTATTAGGTAAAATTATAAACCTTGCTTTTGAGAACAGTTCAATACAGTTAAACTCTGCAGCATGTTCACTAATCCACTGTAATCCAACTTTCAGCCTCTGTTGTGGCCCCGCCCGGCAAGAGTCTTGGCAAGGCTTTATATTCTTTCCAAGCCAGGCAAGATGATGAATTGAGTCTGGTGAAAGGTAAGAATCATTCTCAATTATTTTATTTGCCTTCCATTGTTGATCTGACATGAATAACACCTTGTCTTAGCATGGCAGCCTTATGGTACCACATCATGGCAAAGCAGGTGAGGCCTATGATCACCCCTCTTAGAAGATCAAGATACAGCACATGAAACACTGAAGCTCACTGGTACCAGCTGCCCCTGACTTGTGTTTACTGCATGCCGGGCATTGTTGCAAGGTGTTGCACTTGTTCTCACTCTCACTTTATAAGCTGAGAGACTGGGGCACAGAAATGTGAAGTTCTTGCACTTTGGCTAAAGGCAGTGGTAGCACTGGATTTGAACTGAGAAACTTAGTTACACTCGTACTCACAGTGCCACTGGGGTGGAGTGCCAGCAATGGGCCGGGGATGTAGCCCCACCTTTGTACTTTTTGGCAGCTAGCATACAGGGAAGGGACTTCTGACAGTGTAGAGCAAGCTCTAGAACAGATCAACTGGCACTCAGCTTAACATTCGGTCCACTTAGCTCTCAGGAACGGGCTGTATGGACAGCCTAAAGAATCAGAACCCCTTCTTCATGCCAAGGATTTTTATTTAACAAGGAAAAGGGTTATGTTACAGGTTATATAAACCTCAGTATTAAACAAGAAAACCTCAGTATTAAACAAGAAGAAGTCTATAACCTCAGCTTTCTTTTTTTTTTTTTTTTAATATTCTATCTATTTATTTATTTGAAAGGCAGAGTCACAGAGAGGCAGAGGCAGACGCAAAGAGAGAGAGGTCTTCTATCTGCTGGTTCACTCCCCAGATGGCCACAATGGCTGGAGCTGTGCCAGTCTGAAGCCAGGAGCCAGGAGCCTCTCCCGGGTCTCCCACATGGGTACAGGGACCCAAGGACTTGGGCCATCTTCTACTGCTTTCCCAGGGCACAGCAGAGAGCTGGATCGGAATTGGGGCAGCCGGGACTCGAACCAGCGCCCATATGGGATGCCGGCATTACAGACCGGGGCTTTAACCACAGCACCAGCCCCGACCTCAACTTTCTTTTGGTGTCCTGTTAGCAAGCACATTTGGACACTGACGAACTAGAAATGGAAGGATCTTTACGAGTTGTGTTGTAGGAGAAAAGGCCATGTGACCAGCATGAGACTCTCAGAGCCCACGGCAAATCAAGATGAACTTGCAGCCCAGCAACAAGGAGGCCGCCCACTTGGTACTGCTTGGAGCTGCTTCCTTCTCAGGGCCCATCACATTTCTCCAGGAAATCACTTTTCCTTGTCTTGGAAATAAAAAGTGCATCTCCCAGATGCTACCGAGGACCGGGGGTCCTGTGTTGAAGTTAACACAGTTCACAACAAATTGATGATCTCGTTTGTTTTTAGTTCTCTCTGGGTTGCAGAGCCCACTTATACTTTAAGTACTTTCTTAAAATGAAACATGACATTGGAGGCTTAGGGAAGTTGGCAAGACAATTTCAAATCACTGTGCATTTTAATGGATTTTGTCAATCTACTGACTCGAGGGAACTCATTAGAGGGAGAGCTTAGACTGAGACTGACCCTAAGAAACCAAGTGGTGATTTATGAGAAAGAAAAAGACAGACAGTAGCTTAACAGTCTTCTTCAGTGTGGGTGGAGGTGGGGGTGGGGGTGGGAAATGCAGAGAGAAAGAATGAAAGAAAGAGTGGAAGATTCCCTCAGGGTGCTGTTAAAGAAAATGAAGCTTTGGTGGCTCCGTGGTTAAGGCGCTGCTGGCAATGTCTGTATCCCAAGTCAGCATGCCCGGGTTGGAGCCCTGGCACCACTTCCCGTTCCAGCTCCCTGCCAGGTGCGCTCTGTAAGGCAGCAGGTGATGGCACACGTGCCTGGGACCCTGCCATCCATGGGAGAGGCTGGGATGGAGCTCCTGGCCGGCCCCTGGCTTTGGCCTGGCCCAGCACTGGCTCTTGCAGTCATTTTGAGAGAGAATCAGTGGGTGAAAGATTCCGTCTCTCTATCTCTGTCTTCCAAATAATTAAAAAGAAATAAAACTTCAAAAAGGAAGTCTGAAGAAAGAAAATGTTACTATTTTTTTTTAATTTATTTTCATCTTATTTGAAAGAGAGAGACAAGCAGAGAGAGATCTTCCATCTGCTGGTGCACTTCCCAGATGCCCCCAGCAGCCGGGAATGGGCCAGGAAAAGAGCCAGGAGCCCAGAACTCAGTCCAGGGCTCCTACACGGGTGGCAGAGCCCCAAGCACTTGAGCTATCCTCTGCTGCCTGCCAGTGCACGCGCAGACAGGAAGCTGCAGCAAGCAGAACAGCCAGGATTTGAATCATGCACTCTGATACAGGATGCAGGCATCCCAAGAAGCAGCTGAAGCGCCGTGCCCCATGTTTGTCCCATAAATGTTTCCATTTTGTTGTATAAGAGGTGCCCAGGGAGAAGGACTCTCTTTTTGTCTCTTTCTCTAAACAGGGGCTAGCTAAATGATTTGGGGCATCAGGTTACGATTTAGGGTTATTAGTACTAGAATGACATTTCTAAACAATTGCAGAATTAAACAAGAGCTGTGTTTCTTTGGAATTCCATTTATGCAAATCACTGCTTTGAAAATGTATTGTCTTCAAATTGATGTTTTATTAAAAAGGGCTGGCACTGTGGCATAGTGGGTAAAGCCACTGCCTGCGATGCTGGCATCCCAAATGGGCACCAGTTCAAGTCCCAGCTGTTCCATTTCCAATCCAGCTTTCTGCTAATGCACCTGGGAAAGCAGTGGAAGATAGCCCAAGTGTTTGGAACCCTGCACCTACCTTGGAGACCCAGAAGAAGCTCCCAGCTCCTGGCTTCAGTCTAGTCCAGTGCTTGCCCCCTCGCTCGCTCTCTCTCTGCAACTCTGCCTCTCAAATAAATAAAATAAATCTTTTTAAAAAGTTAATGAAATTGATGAATGGGAAGTTATATTTCTGAGCCAAGCTGTTAGAATTTTGGACTGTGAAGCCAGGTTATAATGGAGAGACGCTGTCTTGACCTTAACAGCAGATTCTTAGCAAAGACATACCCTCAGGAGTCAGCATTCCAAACTATCGCAGCCACCAGCTTGTGAAACCCTTAATGTACAGACGCAAACACAGAGTTTGGTTACAACCTCTCCACTATATAGAAAGTGAGCCAGGCAGCCAGAGAGGGACATGTGGCCCAACAAGATTCTGCTGTTAAGCAAACTCTTCATGGCATGACTCAGTTGTCCATTATCTTGGTCTGTGTTGTATCCCCTGGCATGGGCCTGGCTCATACAGGGATGTCCAATACCTTTTGCTTCACATGACTCAAGTGCAGAAAATGCTTCTGCCAAGTCCCTTCTTGAAAGCAGAATGTTCCGAAAACTCAGGCTGAGACTGAAATTGCCGAGACACATTTGTCTAGCAGATGTGGATTTTTGCAGGTGACATCGTGATTATACATGAGAAAAAGGAAGAAGGATGGTGGTTCGGATCCTTAAATGAGAGAAAGGGCCATTTTCCTGCGGCTTACGTGGAGGAGCTACCGTCAAGTGCTGGGAACATGGCAACGCAGACATGAAACAAGATTCTGAACGTGCTGCCTTCCACGCTCTGTAAATTACGTGACGCAAATACAGATAAAATGCTGTTATCTTTACAATTGTGTCTGTTTAAATGGGTGATGGAGCCCTGCCTGCACGTCCCAGCACTTTGCACTTGTGGGTATTTGAGGAGTTGCGTAACAGAGGGGTGGGTGGAGGAGGTGAAGAGGCTCTTGGTTCCTGGAGTCTTGAATTCTCAGAGACCCTAAAGATGATCAGTACAATGCCCGGTGTCACAGAGAACAAGACCAAGGCCAGGGTGGGTTCAGCCGCTTGCCTGAAGTCACACAGTTATCTGGTGGCACACCAGTGACTAGGGCTTAGCTGTCCTTTTGCTCTGGATATGGCTGGCAACAGCACACAGCAGGCCTTTGATGGGTCAAGCAGGGCCTGAGAGATGAGGAAGCACATACATCAAGTCCAAGAAGCATGGAGACAAACAAACAGGATGCCAGTGAGACGGCCAGGCCGGGCAGCGCTAGAATGAAAGACCAAGTCCGCAGCATGGCAAAAAGTGATCTAGATCCGAGGCAGATGACCTCAGAGCAGCGTGGGGTTCCATCCCGAGCCACTGACCTTCTGAGGCTTTGGACACACCCTTGGCCCACTGCAAGAACTGCTCTTCGAGTGAGGTCAAATGTGAGCCAGGCGAGCCTGGGTACCCTGAGAACCAACAGCAAGACAGGAAAGGCTTAGGAGCCAGGCAGCGCCTGCGTCATCATGTCGTTTTCGTCCATTTGAAAAACTCACCTGCTAACTCTGAAAAAGAAACTTTGGTCATTTGTGGAAAAACTGCCCTATGCAACTTCCAAGTGAAGGGAACTTTAGACGCTAAGCAGTCTCTAGTCTGAATGGAAAGTTCTAGAAGCCCACCTTCACTATCAAAATGGAATATTTAAGGGGGAAGACTTATGCTGTTTCCGCAAGTTCCCCATAATGAGAAAAGGTTAAGAATGTGAAACAGTAGGCCTCAAAACTCTTTCTAAGAGGATCAATTTAGTATGGAAATGATACCAGCAGCATCTTTCAAAAAAAAAAAAAAAAAAAAAAGTCTGCCCGGAAAGCATACACAGCTTTGGATGGGAGGTCATGGTATTGATAGCAACACCCCGGCACATTTACTTTTGTGTTAAAATAGAGTCTGTCCTTTAAAGCTGTGTCCTGGGCATTGCAGGAGTAATTAAAACTCATTCCATTACTCTCCTGCACCATACATGCTTCTTCACATTTGTCAGATTTTATGCATTCAAGAGGAATTTTTCAGACTGTGCCGCTACGGTCCTTATAGCAGAAGATAACTAACATGATAGATACTTATAGATATAGATAGTGGAGCTGAGAAACTCCCGTAAAATTTGTTATGTGAGACATAACTTACAGCCTTGAAGAACAGATCAGGAGTTTTAATGCCACCCCTAATGGGGTATTAATGAAGGCTTTCTGCAGGTAGAAAATTGGCTGAATACTGAGCCATTAGACCATGAGCAGAGAGTTTGAATTTATATTTCCTTTCCCTCTTATTTCCATTAGGCCTTCATAGATAAAAAATTGTGTAGCAATTGACTGCAGCCCATACTGGACCATTCTGAAGAGGGAAAAGGATGATAATGGTTGTTGGACTCAAACTCTTTGCAAGTCATTTTCAAAGAAAGAGATCGCTCTCTCTTCATAAGTCAGCTGTGCTGTGTAGCAACATAAATGGCTTTCCTGCTTTGGAAGGTCACTGCAAATTCTTTTTGCATCTGTCACAAAAAATTGTTAAGTCCCTAAGCAATACTATGGTCTCAAACCAGACAAAATGGGCTCCCCCCACCAAAGGGCTGGGCTGGGCTGTGCTGGAGTGGCCAGAGCAAAAGAGATGGGAGTCCCCACGCAGCGCACCGACAGCAGCTGCCTTCACTGGGGAAGCCGCGGTGTCCTGGAGGAAACCAGAAGCTCCTGGTGACCCCTGGTCCCCAAACACTGGGGAAAGGGGACTCGGTGGCCCTGGTGTCAGGCTGTCAGGGGTGCACTCTGATGACATCTGCATTCTGAATCGTGACCAAGCCCATAGGAGACGTCCAGTGACTCCAGTCTCAATACCTTCAGGAGATGGATCTGCTGCTTCCCATCCTGCCCTTGTCGCTGCAAAATAGGACTCAAAGCTTCAGAGAGGGAAAACCGCTTGAGTAAAAGAATATAAGGTTTTTGAAAGAAAAGCTTACAGGAGCTCGAAAAGATAAAGAAGCACATTCTATGAGACGAGAACAAGTAAATGCGGCCTATCGTGCATATGCGGAGGTTTGCCTTGATAGAGATAACTTGATGAACAAATTGGATAAAATGAATAGACAACTGACAACTCTGAATCCCCCGAGTACTGCATGAACGACTACCATCTAAGGACGCACAGCTCCCCCAGCTAAGAGCAGAAAGGGAAATTCAGCAGGTGACGAGAGATTTAAATCCTCCTTCATCAAACTGGAAGGTGGGAAAGCTGAGCTGTGCTCTGAAGATCCATGGTCAGGGGAAAGAGCTGGGGTTCATAAGGAGAGAGTGTAGCAATCTCAGAACAGAACTACAAAAGGCCAAGCCGAGGGATCCGTCGGAGGAAGACAACCTGACGAACAGCGCTCTCCAGAGTAAGCATTTTAAGTGACCATAGGCAACACGCACACTGGGAACTGGAGAGAAATGTCTAATCTACATCTGGTGACTCACGTACAAGCCGAATTACCAAGAAAACGGAAAACCCCACAGGTAATCAGGAAAGCCTATGCCCTGCACCTGCACTGAAGCGAAGCCCTTGGGAAAGACAGCACAAAACTCCACTTGACGGATTTTACTGCATCGTACAAAACACATGCCCCTCTCTCACCAAATGGCAAGGCTGTCTGTCATACTACATCTTCCCCTTTTCCAGGAGATACAGAGATTTTATCAGAGCCAATCATGGATAAGATAATGAGAGATCCATTCCTAACAATGGCACAAACTTTCAGGAACACAACTCTTACGGCAGAAATTCTCCAGCAGGTAATTCTTGGGTATTTCCAAGCCCTCCTAAATCAAGCGAGACTGCGTTTGGGGAAACTAAAATTCTGCCTTTGCCCAATCTGCCAGCACTGCATTACTTGGATCAACATGATCAAAACTGCCTTTATAAGAATTAATTTTGAAGAGATTCCTGATTGTATCATGAGGATACTGCATCTCTCTCAGTGGCTCCCCAAGAAAGTATTTAACAAACTGAAAGTGGATTTTTACCAAAATTCTGCAGGATTCTTCAGTTATATACACCCGAACACACTGATGATATTATATACTTGATTCTCCAGTGTGAAAGAACACTGTCCCCCAGCTCCATATTCAAAGAATCAGATATGTGCTACTTTACTAATAAATACACAAACTCAAGGTATGTTTCAAAAAGACAAGTCTACCTTTGCTAACAATTGTAAAAGTTTGCCTCTCAAACCACACATCATTTTGCAAAGTGTGTGGAATACCTAAGTATCAATTCATGAAAGTAAAAAGCCATTTAATAACAAAAGAAAAAACATGTCATGTATGTTGCTTCAGACTGCATATAGGCTCCAATGGCAATGTGAATAGGTTTTTGTTGACTTATAATGCATAGATATGAAAAATAGTATAATGAAAAAGTAAGTTAAAAATAATATACTAGAGAAAATGAGAATACAGTTGGTTCTGACAGACTTGAATATTTTCTTCAGTAGGGCAAGAGTTTTCTAGCTGGACAGATGGGGATGGTAGCCACTAGACTTAGGGCAAAATTCAAGTGCATACTGCAGTGAGGATGAACTATGTGCCCAAGTCTCCTATATAAAATAAAGTAATTTTTAACATGAATGCTTTAAAACTTCTAATTAGGCTCCACTAAGCAGTTTTGTATGTCACGAAGTCCTTAGCACCATTAACAACCTGAAATACAGTCAGAGAGACTGCAGCCAGATTGTCACTGAACACACAGGAGATGACATTTCTATTTTATCTCCTTTCTAGTAGAGCAAAAAGTGGTATATCCATCATTCTCTGAGTAGAAAGAGCTATTAATTTCATTGTGGTGCAATTCAATTACCCCTGATGATTAATACTCACAATGACAAAAGGTATTTTAATCACTTAAAGTGGCTTTTGATTCATGAAAAAAATCATATATTTGGGATAAAGTCAGTTTCACTATGCAGTATTATAATCACTTAACTGATGAACAGTTTGTGCTTAGTTTAATTGTTCCCCCTTCTAAGGCAAAGACCCCTCTTTCCCCAAAGACTTGATGTTCTTAAGGTGTAAAAAGCCTGACTGAAGAGAAGTGCCTTAGAATCCTAACAACATGCCCTGTTGTCCTTTGCGATATCACACAGGAAGAAGGTATAACCCAAGGAAGACAGGCTTGGGGGGTGGGGGTGGGGGGGCTATGAGGAGCCAGAACTCAGACTTGGAGAGACGGGGAGAAACAGCAGAGAGGAGCCAGGGCCTTTCACAGAGAGCAGGGAGCTATGTGGACAGAGCTCAAGGTAAGAGAGGATGGAGTGAGAGATACAGGGACACTGCCATCCATGGTGCAGGGTCTGGGTCATCTGTCTCTCCACCGAGCGGTGACAGGGACAGGAGTGGGAAAACCAGCACGCTGGAGAATCCTGGTCATGTACACTGATGAGAGATCAACGTGTGGAAACCAAGGGGGAGTGTGGATGCTGGAGCTTAGGGGAATTCTGCCCAGGGGAGACCGACCCGGCTCAGGGGTGAGAGGCACAGGAGCAGGTAGCTTTGCCCTGAGGATGGAAAGCATGGACCTGCACAGAATTAAAGTAACATTTTAATTCCTCAAAGGAACTATGGAATTGGAGAGGCAGACTGAGCTGAATGGAGGAAGTGCTGCTTCTAAAGCGCAGGGGCACGTCAGGGTGCACCTGCAAGTGCCTGGGGCCAGGCCAGCCACGTAGAGGAGGTGGCAAGGGTGCTATCAATCCCAATTTCAGCTGGCTGGCAAACTGAGTATTCTTCACCCTGGGGCTCAAGGTCATCGTTCACTTCGGTGATTTGCCAAGTTGCA